ATACTAAAATGTCAAAAGAGGTGGGTCCATGGACAAAAAACAATTACCAAAAACACAAAAAAAAAACGACAAACAAAAAGAACAACAACATTAATAAGGAAAAAAGACATATTGAAAAACTTAGGGGCCGATCGTTTTACTAGAATAAAAAGGGGGGGGGGAGGAAATTTTTTTTTCTGGTAAGATTTTCCCCTCAAAATTCAGGATTATTTATTTCCGAAAAGACGCTCCAAGTTGCTGTCAGTGGACTGCATCCTTACTGTTTCAAGTCGTATAGATATATTTACAAGACTGAATATAAGCACTGTGCATTTTGGGTGGCTATAGTTATTTAAGAATTGTAAATTGTAAACGTCTGTGTACCTTCATGATCAGATATTGCTTGTGTGTTAATGCTATAGTAGCCCTTTCTGTTGACGAAAGATGGTTCGTCGTGACTAGGAGCAGAAATCCTCACATGAGTTCCATCAATGCAACCTACAACTCCTGAAAAGACTCCATTGTCAAAGAATCCTTGTTTAATATCCCTTTCCCTCTGGTCAGCCTTGGCATAAAGAGCATCCGAAACCTTCTGCACGCACCTGCTAACAGTTGATTTATCAATCCTATGGTATCACCTACTACTTGCAGGAAACCTCCACAAGCAAAAAACCTCAAGGCAACGAGCACCTGTGGAAACGACAAAAAAAAAAATTATGTAATTACATCCCAAACAAAGCATTGGCAATGATGAAGGGCGAATTATAATTGGAGATTGGGGTTAAGGATGAAATATTTCATGGACAAAAAATGACGAAAAACGAGGGGAGACAGATAATGAATAAAAAAACTACAAAGTACATTTAGAAACGAGTCGCGCATTATGACAAATCGGGGTTTGAACTCTGGTGCATTGGAAGGTTGCGCGGTTCCTTTTTCTTGCAAGACACCCGCCGTGCTACTCATTGCAGGACACGTTTGGAGAGGGAGGAAGGACATATATATGACAGTTACAGGTCTTAAGACATGTTTCCATAGCGGTCAATTAGATCGTGGTACCGACCGTAGAAATTACAAGCGACGACATCAATCTTCAAGGCGCTGCTTTTACATAAAATATTGTCTTCTATGAAATATTGTCCTCTATTGCTATTGTTCCCAGTTCGTCAACGGGTCAAACGGTTCCCGATGAGTTATGTTCACCATATTTTACGGACGGAAGGAAGGTTACCATTACCATGTCGCCCCGACAGTTATTGTCAAGTGACAACAATCAAACCATCTCAACCTCCCTACAAATAGCACCTGGCAGGAGTGTTAGTGGAGCAATTCAGGAGACAATCTCAAACTATAACACCTCATATAGTGAAGATAGTCATTAAAAAATAAAGTCCACATGTTAATTGTTTAACTGCAAAACGGGGGAAAGGGTGGAGGGGTGGCCCTCGTCTCTTTGTTTTGTGTGGTAGGCAAGGGGGGATCATGTAAAATTATCATAAAACTATACAGGAGAAACAAATCTATTCTACTACTAAACGAGCGATCAAGGCAACATTTCAGTAGTTAATTCAGATAGTCAGAGATTTTGAGCCCCTCCCCCCACCTGCTGATAAAAAATAATTGTCTGAGATAGGAGGCGTCGGACAGGGCGGGAGATGGAACGGGGGTAAAGGTAGCAGGTTGAGAGGTCGAAAAGCGGGTGAAAGGGGCGGGATCGGTGAAGAATTAGCGAAATGTTCAACGGGCAAAATGAAAAAGGGGGAGGTCCGAGGAAGCGGGGGTTGAGGTGCCCGGAGTAATGATGGAAGGGATGGGAAGTGGGGTTAAGGTCGGGGTTTAGGAACGTCCCTGCCGCCCACAGTTCGTTTGAACTTTACAAGTAGATTGCCGTTATTTGTTTTTAAAAATCCCTAAAGGAATCTCAATTACCACACAATGGGAGTTATTCCCCTTTATACATTCATTTGTGTGTTGAAAAAAACAAAACAAACAAATATATTGGGGTGAAACGATACGACTTTTTGACGATTTCTTTGGATTGTCATGTGTTTATCAACCAAGAACATTACATTTCTGTTACACTAATTTGTAAAATGTGTAGGATACTTCTTTACGTAGTGAAATGTGTTAAAACTTTGAGAAATATCACACTGTGAAGTTATTTTGTTTTCGGTTACCTGCATCTCTGCACTGAGAGAATTACTTCTCTGGGTAGGATGTTCGATGTCCTCCCGCACTATGTCGGTGATCCTTATAATTGAATTTCTCCCGAATCTGTACCTTGCTCGGAGCTCCTTGTCTGTGAGGTCATCTAATGTAAGTAGCCTTTCTCTATATTTTCTGGGTGTCTTTGGATCGTGCAATATGTTTCCAAACAACAGCAGTTCCTCCATTTTAAATTCCCTATTTAAAATTTAAAAGTGCCCTCTTACCACTTTTAACCTTACGTAACTTTAAGTCATATTTAAACGTTATTTAACTCTAATAAACCTTTGTGCAACAGAAATAAGGGTCACTTAATTTTAATTGAGGTTTAAAATATATTTAACTAATACTTAAAGTTAAATGACGTTTGTGCAACCCTATCCTGGTAAATATGTTTTTTTTTAATAAGTCAGATTTGCACGTCATTTAAAAGGGATCGTAACAAAGATTTCTAGAAATGACACTTTCAACAACAAAATATAACTCTAATTATGGCCTTATAAACTTAAAATTAAACTTGCAAACATTTCTAAAAGAGAGGCGAAAGATACCAAAGGGACATTCAAACTCATAAGTCAAAAATAAACTGACAACGCCATGGCTAAAAAAGAAAAAGACCAACAGACAAACAACAGCACACAAAACACAACATATAAAGCTAAAGACTGAGCAACACGAACCCCACCAATATCTGGGGGTGGTTTCAGGTGCTCCGGAAGGGTTAGCAGATCCTGCTCTAAGACTAGAAACGGAAAAATACTGTATGCACAATTTTGATATCATTTCAATTATGTTTGATCAATCGCATGAATGTCATCAAAAATGAAGTACTTCAACATTACTAGAATTGCAAATAGTGTTATTTTAAAACCCTTTAAAGATATTGCAGGAGATAAATGTAGAATTCATAAACAAAACAACAACCAAATAACTTTTTGTCTCGCCTGCGACGAAAGTGACAGAATGCGAAACATAGTTATTACAATTCGGCGTCGGCATATGATAAACTATAGTTACTACTAAGCTTTATATTTAAGAAGGTAGAAGAATTGGAGCTTCATACCTTGTGTTAAGATGCCTTATGTTACAAAATTTCCGTCAGTCATATGTCTGCTGTCCTTGGATTCATTTCCATGGGTAATTGATTGCAAAAATCGCATACCTATAATTATATTTGGTACATGGGTCCCTTGCAAAGTCTACATGTCCATCAGACAGGGTTCACCTGACCTCAAACTTATTTCATGGATCAGTGAGCAAGGTTTGAGATACCTGACTAGGGCTGTTTCACAGATGCTGTTAGCAGTAGGTCATTAGTCAATGTTAAGTTTTTTGTATTTTTTCTAATATTTAAAGCAATAGGTAAACTATATTTAGTGTATGGAATGATTGTTAGGTGAACATGTCTGTCTGACAGGTGTCATTTATCCTTGAACTCATTTTCAAAGTCAAAGTATATTGGTCAATGTTAAGTCCTCATTTAAGATACTGTAAGCAATAGGATAACTACATTTGGTGTTTGAAACGATTTTTAAGTGTACATGTCTGTCTGGCAGGGTTCATCTGAACATGACACCAATTTCATAGTTTATTTGTCAATATTTAGTTTTTATTGTTTGATCTGCTTCTTGTATAATATACATGCTATAGGTCAACAATATTTAATATATGCAATGATTATAAGGGTGACTTGGTTTATCTGACCTTGGCTTCGTTTTCATGGACCATTGATAATATTAAGTTTATGTGATACTTGAAGCAAAACTTTATCTTTGGGAATATCAACATAAAGTCAATCATGATTAGTAAAGCAGGTGAGACCTTTCAACTCGTGCACTCTTGTCAACACAAAAAATGTGTTGAAAACTGTGACTACCATGCATGTATCTAGGAATCTGGTAACAAATGAAACATATGTGATCTATCCTGATACTTCTTGTTCGTATCTAAATAAGTTCTGATAGTTCACTACGTTTGCTTGTAAGCATTACATTTTTTAAGAATACTCATTTTCTTATATTGTCTTGTGAAATTGATTTCACAAAACACAGCTATCATGATTGAAATGCAAATCAATTTCCTTGTAACTCACCATTTTCAAAGTTTGGACATTAACAAATACAAGAAAAAAAAGCTTCCTTGTTAAAAAAAGTTTTTTTTTTTAAAGTGTTTCTTTCGTGCCCATGGTTTGATGTTGGATGTGACTGTCAACTATTTATTCTTTGCATGAAAATTGTTATATTAAAAATTGCTTTTGTTAAATAAGAAATATTTAACTATCAAACTTTTTGTAGTGAGAACATATTTTATATGCTCCAGAATAAACTCATGGCCATTACTTGAAAATAAGGATATTTCAAGTTAATAGAGATTTATGACAGCACAAAATGTAAAAATAACGGTGACTGCAGTGTTTATTTTAGTTGTTCTGTTTCATTACTTTGTTAGAGCAGTTTTTGTGTAAGGAGCACACCACTGTTAATGGAGTCCATGTAGTGTGAACATACACGAGCGTATTGTACTCCTGAATATGGGACGTTGACAATTGTAAAGTTGAAATCATCGTGTTTGTCATTGATTCTAGTTTGGAGTCTACAATCTGTGTCAATGTCGAGTTTATTATCAAGATATGAATCAGACATTCTACTTTCAACAGTATCCACTGGGATATATAAGCACTCTTTGAAATGTTGTTTATTGAGTGACAGAATGCATAAAGTAATAGATACCGAATCTGGGATAATGTATTTGTCATCTTTACTGATTCTGATACTTTTGTGTTTCATGAATTTATGTTTTATAGTGACACGAAATAAAACAGTATAAACATATTTTATTAGCTTATTTATGAAGTAATACAAAAAACAAAATGGCATGAACATAAAGAAAAACAAATATCAATAGGATAACTTAAAAGTACTACATGGTTTAACGATTGATGTTTTAACCATATAAAGATCATATGACCGTAGCATTGTCCTTTGTAGCCTGCTCAATATATACGATACATATACTCTACTCTTTTGTTTTGTGCACATGTGGTACATTAATATAACGGTACAGTTTGACATGAAACATAACGATTAAATCCCCGGCTCGAAAATCAAGTGTTTGTTCTAGATCAAGGTAATATATATTTATGTAACATCAAAACAATGGTGAGATAATTATTTACCAAGAAAAAATGTCTAACAATTGCACCAAGAAAGCAAAATGATTCAAGCAAAGTCGTGACTTATATTATCTCTTCCGACTATTTTACATCTTTTGTGTTAAATTTGTTCATTGAAACAGGCAGTAGTTAAGTAATGTTCAAATATTATGGATAATTATAATTTATAAGATTTAAGAAAGATTTCTTTAGAATTATTTTTCTCTACTTAACAATTACAAAACCACTGCACATGGGGATGCTTAAAAGAGTTGTAATTAGGACAACAGATACTCGGCGTCTTGATCCCTTTTTTGTATGATTTACTTATTTTAACTGATTGAAGTACGTATATTTGGCACTTGTAAAATAAAATTCCGTTAGAATTTAAAAAAAACATACGGTTATATCATTTTTCCGTTTTTCAATACATGTTTGCGATTTGTATGTTGTCGTTTAAAGCAAAATGTGGAAGCACTACCTCAGAACCAAAAGTATAATACATATATTACAAATGACAAATAAATACATAGAACATAACAGAATGTTTTAACTTTACTAGATATTCGCATACAGTGAATCTCGAGAATCACCTCCGAGTTGGACTCTAATACACTGATAACAGTATTCATATTGATCCTAAAATAGACAAAAATAGCAAAGGCTATAAACACATCAATCTTACAAAATTATTTACATAACTATCTTATCTGCTAAAGAGATACTTGAAATTTATTGATGCAATCTCTTTCTGTAAACTCAATGTTCAAGTTTGAGGAATGGTAGGTCTTCGATAAACTAATTTTGTTTTCTAATTGCGGGTTTACTATGTATTTGATTTAAGACTTTTGAATTTCTGGCTTTGAAATTCATAAATGATTTAGACTTTCAACGTTAACTGTATTAATGTTGGTGGCACTGAGGAGTTTTATTTAGACGACTCAATTAGCCTGGTATCTTTGATCTCTGGTTTAGTGTCTCATATATATTAACTCTATGAAGGAAGTTATGATAATGAACACATGCTTTAAACTATTGTTTCGTGTAGCTCATGATCTACTGGTATTTTGCAAATAGAAATGCAACGTAAACAATGAAAAACTTAATCTCGTTACTTTTGTCTTAAAATTTAGTTCTTAATTATCATTTACAATTTACAGTTGACTTTCAAGGAAACATCATTTTGTGACACTCGTCAATGTGTTTTCCCAACATCATTTAGGATCGATTTATTTTTGATTTGGCATTTGAAAATTCAGACACATTTGTTAGATTATTCTCAATGTACGTATGTGATCATGCAGAGTTGGAAGCTAAGAATATAGAAATTAAGAAGAACATTTCAGAGAAGTTGTAAACTGCGTTTTCTATTTTTGAATGTCGTAAAGAAAGAAATACATATGATACAAATTCCTTAGTGTCATAATTCTGGAAGTGTTATTGTCAAGAGTAGATTAGTCATAAAATGTTAAACGAGACGTTTATATATTTGAAGCACTCGATTAAAAGTTAAACATGAGGGACATTTGCAGAAAATGATATTTGGATTGTTTAAACTATCATATTGCGATTAATATGATAGAAGTATTTTGATTCCAGTGAAATATTTTATTATTCTCATTTCATTTTGTTTTTTTTTTTCAGATATAAAACTATATGTAAATGCTAGCTTATCTATGTAGCTGTTTTTGATGTTGTTTATTCTATCATTTGAAAATGCAAGTAAGCAAACTAACACCATTTTTAAAATTATAGGCCAAAACATAGCTCTAGTTATTAGGAAAGATCTGATTCGTATATTTCATCAGCATATTTCTTTGTTAGCTGATGGGAACGTGTTAGTATTGTAGCATTTGATGTTGGATACATGCCATCCGGATTGTGTAATTTTTCTTCACTACACACTTACAAATTCATCAAGGAATTCTGGTCGCCTTGTTTGAATTTCTCTTACTACTTGAAAAATATCTATTTCCTCATCTATCTGCATTTTTTCCAAAACTAATCGCAATGCTACAAATAACCCACTCTTACTACAGCCATCACTGAAATAATAAGAAACCTTTGCAAAATTATGTTATAAACTGATAATTATTATTACTATTATTTGATAACAATGTTTAATAATTTTATGGTGACCATAAAATTGAGAATGGAAATGGGGAATGTGTCAAAGAGACAACAACCCGACCATAGAACAGACAACAGCAGAAGGTCACCAACAGGTCTTCAATGCAGCGAGAAATTTCCGCACCCGGAGGCATGTTCACTGTCGTTCAGGATTGCATATAGCTAAATCTAACAATGCTTATTCTTGGGAATTGGTGAATAAACTACAACAGTCTTACCTTAATACGAGGTTGCCATTAATGTTTCAAGAACTGCTTACTCTTTAGGATAACCAGAATTTACTTGCGATGCATGTACGTTGGTGTTTGTGTTGACGAATCGTTAAGTTTATGAGTAGTTTTTTGTTTTCGTTTGTTTTTTTCTTGACATAGTGTTGTCTGTTTTTCATATATAATCTGTGACTGCCCCCTTCGTATATGCTGCCTCTTTCTTTGATACATCTAAAATTTGTGACTATGGATTTTATTAACGTCCTTTTACAATATGGAGAAACAATTATCTGCATAACAAATTGGCCTATTATTGTCAAACCATAGTTGTGGAAACAACTATTTATAACGTTATTTAATGTTCACCATCTGAACTCAACTACCAGGTTTTTAATGACGTACCTACAAACTACAGTGATTGGGCCTTTCTGTGTTTCCCAGCAATTTTGTACACGATGCAGAAGATCTAACATATACTCTGGTGATGGTGTTGCATTAGTGATAGTCCAATCCTCAGCAGTGAATACTTTAATTGAGATTTGTTCTTTATTTTTCTGTAAATGTATAGCAGACTAAACACGTTGTTTTGTAAAATATACACACCATTTTGTTTAGTTTCACGTAAGACATTTATTAGAATAGTTAAATTAGATGATTTAAATGTGGCCTAAATACTAGTACTTACACAATTGTTTCGTTTGGCCACAATACAATACAGTTGATTAATGGGTATAATGCAATTCTTTTCTTATGACTTTACATGCATAAATCATTAGAAAAATAACAGTACTATACCCATTATTCATAGTTATATATATATAAAATCATGTGAATTCTTTGTATCTGAGGGTCCGGATTGAGGAACCTTCTTTTCTGTATTATTGCATTTTTTTCCTCTATTCTTTTTTTGGCACGCTATTCTTTATTTTGTTAAATTTGGCATCCCATTATTTTTTATTTTCTTTATTTGCTGTTATTTCAGCACCCCATTTATCTGTATTCTTTATTTGCGTGGTCATTGTTTCCTCTTCTCTTTCCCATTTTTCGCTAGTCAGGAATATGACAGTTGTTTTCCACTCGTTCCGTTAGTTAATACTTTTAATATTGTCAGTTTTTGTGGACTTTCCCTTTTTGAATTTACCTTAAGAGTTCGTTAATTTTGTTATAATTTATTCATTATTTTGTTTGCCCTCTGTTCTCTATTTTTACTTTTTAATATTTTAGTACCCGCATTATTTTCTACTCGTTACTTTCTTTGCCATTTTGTTCATATTAAACCTTAAGCTTCTTCCTACCGTATGGTTCAAAGTAAGCGGAAACTCTCTTTGTGCATTTTCCGTTTCTTTGACAATTCGGAAATCATCAAACTGTAGCATTTCTTTCTTCTCTAACCACAATGGAGCACCCTGGCGAAAAGATATATGTAGCCTTAATTTATATATTTATAACAACAAAAAAACTGACATTTTTTCCGCGTTCTGTTCTTCTTAGCCGACATCGCAATACTATATGGCCATTTCGCTGCTCGGTAATCATTCAAGAGAATATTACAGTTTATTACATTGGTTGCAATGAATAACAGTGATTTCCCAGTGAAATAAAAACAGATGATTTCACATGTGAAATCAATCTGATAAGTTTACTCCTCTGACGACAAACAGCCATAGGTGTTGTCACGACGTTGTCGATGATGTTGCATGTATAGAAAACGATATAGTTCCTTTCATTTTCTGTTTTATATTCATTTGATAATCCATGGCCAATGTAATAAAAAGAATAAGTAATCCAAGAATTCAATTATTGTGAAATATTCAATTGGTGACTAAACAACACTGATAATTAACTCATGCGCTACGCGCAATCGTGAATTAATGTGTTGTTCAGTCAAACGTTGAATATTTTTCTTTATTTGAATTCTGTGATTAGTTATTCTATGGGTAACACATTCACGACAACCTATATCCATATCACATTTTATATTTAATCGATTATAGTACCGTGATAGTGTTCTTTTTTAAATATTGGCTGCAATAGTTTTTTCAAACCTCCCATAGATAAGAAAAAAAATTATCTAGATCTTATTTTTGCAAATGTCCCTATGATTTTCTGTTAGAAATAGTGTCTTCTGCCATATATATTAGGTTATGATGCGAATCAATTCTTTTTTGGATAAAATTTGATACGATTTGACATCGAACTGATGACTAACTAAATACAGCTAAGCAAAATTCCTATCTTAAAATAACTATAAACTAGATACCTCATGTAATCGAAACGAACAGGAATAAAGCTCACCTTATTTCCGGGATCCAACAAAACAATAATTTTGGAACTGTGATCATACATCATTGTCCAAAAATCAATTACAGTTTCAACAAGTGGGCACTGTGTTACAAACATCTTACTATCAACTGAATAGCCCTGTGATAAAATGAATGAATTATAAAAGGACTTAAAATTAGCAAATTCAAGTGAATAGAAAAAATCAATACAATATTTAAAATTAAGTTTATAAAATATTGTTATACATTTTGTATATATGCATTTATATGGCACTTTCTGTTGATACGCAAATACAATACTGTACCAGATAGCCATTGCAATTGATGAACTGCCTAATCAAATTTTATGCCATGTTTTTTCGTTTAATGAAAGTTCATATAACGCCAAAATTTAAGCAACTAGGGCAAGCATTCATCAGATTTAGACAAGCAAATAACGATCTATGCCATGTACATGATGTACGAATAGATAATGTGTACCTATTGACGTTTGCAAATCAGAAGAAAAGAAAGTGCAAACAACTATAACTATCTGAACTATAATGTGGTACAAATAGCTATACACGCATCAATAAGTCACTACTTCAAATACTAGTAGTATAAACACGATTAAAGAATGTTTGATTTAAACATTTACTCACTGGAATTATAACGGCATTAATATAGTCACTTCTGGTTTTACCATAAGACATTAAGTAAGGTCTATATTTGTCATCTGCAAGATATAATGTGGCAAAAATCACGATTACAACTGTAACATAATACATAGTCATAAGTGAAAGTCTTCCATTCGCTCGCATATTTAGAAGACAGTCACATCATTTGTAAGACAACACTAGCTTTTTCCAAAAGAAACCAACAACACCATGGCAAATAACGAAAAACAAGGAACAGAATAACAACAGTTTGTAAAACACTACATACAAAAACTTAACACTGAGCAACACAAACCCAACAGGAAACTAGAAAGGTCTCAGGTACTGAGGGAGGGTGCGCCGATCGTCAACAGCATGTGGCAACCGTCATGTTAATAGTAAGTAAAAATTCAGTAATAAGTCTCAATCGATGATGTTATAATCAAGGTAAACTAATTTTAGATTTGAATCAAAATTGTGTCACCTTTTTCTTTCATGCAGTTTTGTTTGTTTCAGACCTTTTGCCACAATGAAGAAAAAAGGGAAGGTATTGTGGTTACGACTATTGGAACACATCCATTGTTTTCGTTCTCAATGACACAAATAATCAGTATATAAGTTTTTTTTTTTGCTAGCGTAACATTGTGTCTACAGAGGTAATGATGAACATGCAGTTAAAAAAATAAATGTAGTACTAGGTGTCCTAGGCAGCCTGTTCGAGAATATCGAGATTTGAATCAACTTTTTGCACTTTTTTCTTTCATTCAGGTTTCTGTTTGGTCAGTCCGTTTGTTTCGTAATTCTTAAATACATCAATATTTAGATACCATATCAAACTGCAATACTCAAAGACGGTGTGTTTGTGTTTGGTTTGGTTATTTTATTAATTATCAACATATAAATTGTAACATTTAACTGTTCATATTTAAGTTAAACCAGATTTACATTTTGTTTAGCAATTTTTTTAATATATTTGTATCATACAAATGGTTATATATCTTTGTTCCTAATTCGTGCATACATCGCATTGCTAAGATACTTGAATGATTTATCTATCAATGATATATTTCATGTGAGATTTCCGAAATCCTATTATTCCAACGTTTTTTACTTTACTTTATAACCGCGACAACACATTATTTAGGAAGCGTAAGTTCATGAAAATGTATACTTACGTGCAAGAACAGTTGTTGAAGAATTCTTTGATTTGTTTTCTTTACAATTTGCAGCAGTAAACTCATTAGAAGAATATGATGGCCGCAACGTTCGCAATCTCTAAAGTAGTAAAATGAAAAAGATGTAAAATTATGAAGGCGATTGTCAGTTAGATAACTAGAACCAAATGAAGATCACTTGACTATCTGAACATCAGGTCACTGATGTGTAAATGCCAAGGAGACTTCTTTCAAATCAGGCAATTCCCCGTGTATTTTTCTGGTAAATTATCAACACCGGGGTTTTCCAAGACTATGGATTATATGAGATGAGCCACTACAACCAAAAGTTATACACAAGTTAAACATGTGTTACCCGTTTCATCTGATATGTCAGAAGGCAAATTATCTACACATTCCTTGCCTTATTCGTCTGCCTTGGACGGTGAGATTAATTACTACCTGCTTACGAGTTCCTTGTTCGTTTTTGGGCACTATACTTATACCGAAACAAGGCCAGCGATTATTAAAACAACACACTAAAAATCAAACGAAATTGACTAGGGTCATCTTAACGTCTCTTGACATTTTTTTTTTCAAAACTGAAGATATAAATCAACTCATCACTAATAACGTAAACATTGTGAAATTATTTTGCATTCAAAATAAATGTAGTTTGTGCTCAGGTTGCTTGTAATTGCAATGATGTCAAAATTAATTGTCAAAATCTGCACGCGGACACATAGTTTTAAACAAAGCAGATAATAAAGCAAAGGCAAACATTTCTAAGGTAAGACACTTGTTAGATATCAACTAACATGCCTAACACATATATACTAATATATATTGTATCCACAATGCATGAAATTGTTTAAACAAATGATCTTGACAGTTGTTTATCATTCGTTCCGTTAGTTGATATATACTAACGTTTTATTTTGTCCGGTTTTATGGACCTCCCCGTTTTGGAATTTACTTTGGAATTCGGTATTTTTGTTAATACTTTCTTGATATAAATTCAAAACACGTCTTACACAATATAATGAAAAAGATATATCTTAATTGTCATTGTCTGCAAGTTGTTTGTAATTCAATTCTGTTCTAAATAAAATAAAAGGTTCAAGGATTATCGAAATAAAAAAGTTTGACAAATGAACATATTGGACAAGTTAAAACAGTTATTTAGTAAAACAATTACATTTTATTGTTGGAAATCAGTAATGCCCGAACAAAATGCTCTTATAATTTTGATGTTCATGACATAAATCACTTAAATCTTAATCTTCAACTTTCCTCATTTCAGCAATAGACATAATGAAGATGAACGTACTTCTGATGACTATCATTTTGTATAAATTTTTCTTACAAATGCTGCACGCAACACAAATATGTTAAGGAAAGTTAAAAATTGGTAGCCACATTTTTGGTGGAACTGTTCTCGCACTAATCATCCGTTCTGTGTAGAACACATCTCTAAAATATATTTGGTACCTGAAACTCTTCTCTGTATATTGTTTGATTTGTTGGTAAAGTCTTGTTTTCTTGCTTTTGTATATATTCGCAGAAATCATTCTTTTGAATGGACGTATTTGGAACCGTGAATAGTTCCAGCAGTGCTTCAAACACGATCGAATATTGTCCCTATAAATTAAAAAAGATACGGTTAAAGAGTAAAAAAAGAGTAACATGTTTATTATTTCTTATCGTTTAAACATAGTAGACACAAAGCAAAAATATTTCAGAACAGCCAAGAAAGCATATTTCAAATTATGTTTTTTTTAGCCTCCTCTAAAAGCGAAAGTAATCACAATCCACGAATCACTTTCCTGTTCATTACATTGGATATTTCAAGGAAACATTATCAGCATAGGTAGATGCTCAAGTAACCATACCAAATAGACTGACATCATATCAAGAATTTGCAAATAATATATATAATTAAACAAGCTTTTGATGAATTTCTGATACCTTAATTAAGTACCAGTTTTCTTCAGACACAATGTACAGGCTATATATTAATGCAAATATATATAGTTTTACTGCTTGTTAAATATGTTACGTACATGTGTTTGAATCATATTCATTCTGTCTTTCCTCATCATCTGAACATACTCCATAATATCAACGTAGACAACTTTCTTGCCATGCTCATAAAGTGCATCGATAGCAATGAATGTACCTGTCCTTCCAACGCCAGCACTAAAACATGCATGCTTCATATTAATAATAGCAAGGAATATAACATAAAGGTGGAGATAAAAAAAGAGTTATTGCTAGGCTCTTGAAATTTCACAAATAGTAACATCCTGCAAATTGTTATAATTTGGAAACGATAGTGCATAAAGGTCACTTATGATGTCACGTGTCGGAATATGACGTAAAATGGCCTTTTTACACATATATGTTAGTCAGAATTGTTATGAGCCAATGTCTCATCCAGAACGATCCATGTCTATACATAACATTAACTTCAAGCACCATGATATCATTTTTCGATTTAGCATTGACCAATATTTAAATGTTGGTGACAAGTTCTCAACATGAGGCTAACTTGGCGGTTTTTGCATAAATAAAGACATTTGAAGCATTTATTCCAATTTGAAAGACACAAAAAAAAAAAACAAATACTGATCGTATGGTCATCTGCAGATTGATTTTTTGTAGATTTTTAATTTGCTCTGATTGTCCTATTAAAGGGTAAAAACGATAGAGTTATATCATACCTTCTCGTTTTTGTTATAAAAAGCAATATGATTTTATATTTGAGTCAGGGTTTTTTTCTGTCAAAGGGTTTGAAAAATCTTTACTTCTAACATATAGTCGGTATCATGATGGTTTGGAAATAAAAAGTGTATTTAGATAAATGGCGAGTTTTAACAAAAACATCTACAAATTTTCGAATACGAATGGATCTGAAAGTACGTCAGAATGTTACCTTAGTTTGAAAACAAATAAACACAAATACATTTATTTTTATATTTAGATATAAAGTGTATTAATATTAATGACTAAAAGGACAGAAATACATTTTTTATTCAAATGAGCGATATGGATGTAACATGCTAACGTTTCTATTTTGGTAAAACTGTGTAACGTTTACATGTACCTGCAGTGCACCACCATTGGACCATTCTTATCACATTTTTTGCTTTTCACTTTCCTGTAAAAATTCACCAGTTTGATGCTATCTGGAACACCATGATCCGGCCATTGTGTGAAATGAAAATGATGAACTTTTCGTTCTTGCTGATTCTAAAATTACAAAATATTACTCACTCGTTCAATATTTAATCATTCCTCAGTCCAGTATTTGGTATTTTAAATATAAAAATGGTAATTTATTTTCTTCATCCTCTTATTATCCTATTGTGACTACTAAACATTATTCCTTTTTCATAGTTTACTAGCATGTGGAGCCGTTTGCATATATTATTTCTATTAGGTCCTCAGACATTACCGTGATATGACACTCTTCAAATATTTTCTTATTCGGAATTTTACTAATTATATGCCATTTATAAGTTGTTCGAAATTACTCTCATATTCAACCTCATTGTTTTATATATATATTTGACAAGATTGTAGATACGTAACCAAAAACGAAAGAGAAGGTGTCAAAAATAAATCCTTATATTTAATTATAAACGACAGTTGTCTACCGATTTTGAAATATTTAAAATCGATGATGGAGAGATTAATTAAGACAACAACCAAAAAAGAAGAAAGAAATCACATACACACTTTAGTTTTTTGTCTGCTGTGTATCCTGATGTGTTTTTTATACCGATTCGCTAAGTCTGATTAATTTATACCTACTAGTTAAAAGGTAAAAGTCTGCAGAAAGATAAATTACCCTTCCGGACACAAAATTCAGCCTCCGATCCTACTAGTCTTTGATTTTAGAATTTAGAGCTGCTTGCTTAGCGGAGAAGGAGCAATTACCAATTTGCAAGTCTTTGGTTCGAAGCGACCGGAGATAGAACCCATGACATCCCTTACTTGAGATGAGTTCACTACCACGAGGCGGTTCAAATCAAAATAGAAGACAACATAATTTCAAAGTTTGAATAATAAACTTTATGCATCCCGCCATTGTCTTATTGTGCAATGGTAATTGTTCTGTATTCTTGTCATTCATTTGTACTTATGTGCTTTGTCTATATGCCATTATGTTTACTTTGTTGACATATTTGTTTGTAACACAATGTTGACTGCTGTACCCCTATCATTGACATTATTACCTGTTATGTCTGTTTGTTTTGTTCACACATTGTTGTCAATATAATAGAATTTTATGCGACTGCCATACAAGTGAGAGGTTTAGCTAGCTATAAAACCAGTCTTAATCCACAATTTTATACATAAGGAAATGCCTGTACCAATTTAGGAATTTGACAGTTGTTTTCCATTCGTCTGATGTTTTGAGCTTTTGATTTTTCCATTTGATAAGGGACTTTCCGTTTTGAATTTCCCTTAGAGTTCGGTATTTTTGTTATTATACTTTTCATCTTAGACGTTTACCTGAATGTTTTTATAATAGTTAATTTACTGCAAGGACAGCTGAAATAAAATACTATATGCATGATATATGATTCTTGTTTGACTTCACAATGGTTGAACAGACTACGTTCACATTTAAGATTTTAAGTGGGAATACAATTACGATCACATAAACAGCTGAGTAATGCTAAGCATTATCCTAATTAGGTAGAAGAGAGGCGAAAGATACCAATGGGACTTCAAACTCATAAGTCGAAAAAAAAATGACAACGCTATGGCAAAAAAAGGAAATAGAACAAAAGACAAACAACAGTATAAAATACAACATAGAAAACAATATACTGAGCAACACGAACACCACCACCGGAAGGGTAAACAGGGTAAATATGACAAAAACATATCGAGTGCTTTACGTTCTTGACAACAATACATTTACCTTTTTAACTAGTGTCTGCTGTAATCTTTGACAATGCTAGCGATGAGTTGATGTCGAATGAAAAATAGGCCGTGCTTACTATATAAACTCATCAGTGGCGCTCGAATATAAAAAAGTTAAAAAGGCCAAATAAAGTTCAAAGTTAAAAAGCATTGAGGACCAAAAAATCCGAATGATTTTGCCAAATACTGCAAAGGTAATGTTTTTTTTTTCGGATATACAAAAAGTATTGGTAAGAATTCGCCTTTCTAGCTCTTACAGTTATCTTATGTATTACAAATATTTTTTTCTGGTATCGGTGTTTTGATGGATACATGTAATGGCTATTTCATTGACACTCACTATTTTTTTAAAAGTTAACTGAAATTTTTGAATCGATATTACCGTTTTGTTATGTAGTATAATCAATCTGTACACATAAATAGTATGGTATATCTCCTCTGTCATTGTTAGTCTATAGTTGTCTACCATTGTTGCTTTATTGACAGTTTTAGGCCAGTACTGTTCACATTTTTTCTGAAATACAGAAATTTCAAAGTGCATGTGGTATGCATTCACCCACAAAAGACTTAAGACAGATATTTTATTTACAACACATCTATAAACAAAATGACTGACATAAAGTTCTGACATAGAGTTCAGTTGTAAAGAGGAGAATTGTAAAATATTTAGAAACTAAAAAATTGTATTAAAACAACGCATATTCAAATTATGAGGTTCCTATATTGTACGATTGGTCAGGCTTAATTAAGTAAAACACTTTTTTGTCCATCTTCTTATCTGATAAAACCGTTTGTTTACCAACATTTTACCAATGTTCAAATCTCATTCATCAATATCAATACAAAAACATCAATATATAAAAAGTAACAAACAAAAACTTAGGGAATAGTATAAACTCCAAAAAGAGCAATATCGGGTGCGTCGACAAAAAAGGGTTTTCTGCTATTCAAGCATATTCTATTTTCATTTAAACTTCCCGAGAATCCTGATGAATAAAGAACGGCAAAACAATACACTTCATAGTAGAGCTAATTATAAAAAAGTGAGTGCAGTTAGGCATAAGAACACAAATAGATCATGTACATACCCTTCTTTCCTCTTCCAGTTTCGTGACCATCACTATTTTGCAAACCTTTTCCTGCCAGACCATTTGCCAGAAATCCCTGAGAGTATTCTTTTTCGGACCTACGTACACAACCAAAAATGTGTTAGAACTTATATAATTGCATGACTTGCATTCTGTATAATTTGATGTATTAATCTGTTCCTTATATACACCCATCACCATCCCTCCCAACTATAAAAGATAAAAAAATAATGACAGATTCGTTTAATAGTATGTTGTATTGCGTTTAAGTTTCCGGACAAATGGCTTTTTGAACGTTGACATCCTCATGATAATAATAGAAGACTGCTAAAAGTAAAAAATAGATTTCAATAATTCTAGAACTTATATAATTTTACAAACCTTGTGAGGCTATGTATGCCTTTTCTTTGTCATAACTCTGAAATAAAATAGGCTGGATATTGTTATAACCATAAATACAAAATATTATTTGTTATTGATTACACTTATTTACTTTAATATATTAAATATTACTTTTAAATATGGTTGTAAAAGAGAGGCGAAAGATACCAAAGGGACATTAAAACTTAAACGAAAATTAACTGACAACTTCATGACTAAAAATAGAAAGAGACCAACAGTCAAACAGCAGTACACAATATAGAAAACTAAAGACTGAGCAATACGAGCCCACCCAAAAACTGGGGGTAAATAATCAGGGTAACAGTAATTTTTCAATCTTCAAATACCATAAAAGATGACAAATCAAGGTTACACACACCAATGAATAGATCGTTTGAACTCTAAAAAGGAATGTAACCGGGTGTTTCGACTGGGTTAGTGTCTCCTGATATGGTAGCATCAACCACCTGTAACAATCAGTAAAAAATTTCACAATCTAAAATAGGACGCAATTGTTAAAATTACCGATGAGACTGCTCTGATTTCTACTTATATAGGATTGCAAAATTATCTCACTAGTGATTTGAGACTCAAATACGTTATCGTTCAAACAATTCATTATTTGATTCTAATTTGAAGTCGTCTTTCTGTGTCAATATCGATGAAAAAATCAAGATACATGTATGAAGCAGACATTCTAGCTGACTATGCGGTATGGACTTTGTTCATTGTTGAAGGCCGTACGGTGACCTATAGTTGTTAATTTCTATGTCATTTTGTCTCTTGTGAAGAGTTTTCTCATTTGCAATCATACCACATCTTCTTATTTTTTTGTACTAGTTGCGGTAGTATGCTAAATCTCAAGTTACATTTGATATGTTCGATACAAGCACTCACTGAAGTATTTGATATTGTGTGACTGGGCATCATCAATATATTTGAAAGTGAAATTAAAGTACTTTGCAAGACGTTTTTCATTTTATTTCTGGGAAGTTTTTGGTTGAATTCTGCTTCATAGGATTACAAAAACAAACAATTTGTCCAGTAGTGGTGCACAATGAGTACCAATTTAAATATTGACTGTCTATTGAAATATTAATTAACCAAACTCAAAATTAGCAAAGGTCACAGTGACCTGACTTTATTATATCACACCACCCAAGCTCATGATGCAACTGCAAACCAAGTGTGGTTTACCTAAGTTTTACGGTACAAAAGATATCAGCCGAACACGAATTGATTAAGGTTTTACTATCATAGGGGTCAAAGGTCAAAATCAAGGTCAGAGTTATTTGACTTTAGTATATGACACACCCCAAGGCTATAATGTAACTGTATACCAAGTTTGGTAAACCTAAGTTTTACGGTATAATAGATATGAGCCAGTCACGAATCACGAATTGGATAAGGTTTTACTATCATAGGGGTCAAAGGTCAAAGTCAATGTCAAATTGATCTGAATGTAGAAGGAGGCACATCCCCAGCCCATGTTGCAACTGTATACTTAGTTTGATTATCCTAAGTTTTATGGTACAAAAGTTATGTACCGGACACGAATTGGACAAGGTTTTACTATCATAAGGGTCACAGATCAAAGTCAATGTAAAGTGACCTGACTGTGGTATATATGACACATTCTCAGCCCATGATGCTACTGCATAACACGTGGGACGGACGGAATGACAGACGGACATGGTGATTCCTATATACCTCCAGACGTTGTTTGCGGGGGTATAAAATATGTTTGTTTTAAAGAAAAGTTCTGTTTAATGAGACGATGTAAGTGGTATTCGATCTTTCATTTGAAGGGGAACAGAAGTGTAAATCATAGACAAAAATCTTAAGTTTGGATACTACTGCAAAGTTGTGATTGAACATTTTGCCGAAATAAAACAATGTGATTTAATAATAGACTCTTTAACTACTATTCACTTATAAGGATCTGACAACATTAATATTTTTTCTAACGACGTTTTCGGAATATCTGGTTTTTGCCGTAACGTTTTGATGTTGTACTTTAATTGGTAGACGCAATGAATACTTAACCAGATGGTGGAACCTGACAATGTTAAAAATCTAAAATTTTTCAATTATCTTACATCAATGTAGCTAGCGTTTATGTAGTCATGCTTTGTATCTCCTGTCAACACAACCCTCGAATGGTCATCTACAAGAACATAATATAGTTAGAACAATATATCCATATACTTTTACTGTTACGTTTAATACATGTTTCATATTAAAACTGTTATATTTAAGAATATGTTACATAGTACAAATATTTATCATTATCAGCAGTGCATCACTTAATGTTATAGAAAGCATATTCTTCGATATGTATTATTTATGTCCATGCAAGGCATATAAACATTGAAAGAAAACAATATTAATATAACGTAAGGTCATTATCAAAACTGCATTGTCGAACGACAGAAAACAAAATGCAAAAAAAAAAAATAAAATAACAAACGCAAAACACCTCACAATCAGCCAGATTCATAAAAGAGAAAATTGGAAATTTGGCAGCAAGATTGCATTGCTTTCATATGCACAGGAAAAATATTCAGTTACGTAAGTAAAAGAGAGGCTCTAAAGAGCATGTGTCGCTCAAAAAGGTCTACGTGCAACTTCAACAAATGACGCTTTCCAACATTTGAGACTAAAACAGGTAAACAAAAATTGATGACAAAAAAATTACTTTTTATTGATTAAAATAAAATCTCTCCTGAAGAGTCTAGTAATGGTTTAGGTACTAATAGACTCATATGTAGATCTTGTCTTGATAAATATTGGTAAACATCGTCATTAAACATCAGGAACTACAATAAGGGGTCGATTGACGATGTATGCCATGTTGAATTATTTGTTGATCTTGTATTATTGGTTATTTTTGTTGTCTAAAGTTTCTATCTATATATTATAATATGGTCATAATTATAAATTAACTGTTTACAAAACTTTGAATTTTTCATAATACTTAGGATTTTCTATCCCAGGAATAGATTATCTTAGCTGTATTTGGCAATCATTTTAGGAATTTTGGGTTCTAAATGCTCTACAACTGCGTACTTTTTTTGTCCTTTTTGACTTTTCTGATTCGAGCGTCGCTGATGAGTCTGTGGTAGACAAAACGCGTATCTGGTTTACAAAATTACAATCCTGGTATCTAGGCCACACCAATTTGGTTCCTACTTCTTTGGATTTTCCCGCTCCTGTTTTGAAGAAACTGACTTTTTTAATGAAAAAAAAATTACCGCTTCTGCAAATTTGAGGTCCGCATGCCCGATCCAAAATTAGTTTCTCCTTGATTTTTTTTCACAAAGACGCTTTTCTATCGCATATGATGCTTCAATCGTTTCAAACGCACATGTGATAATTTGATTTACAACAAAAGTCAAAAAACGGGATGCCAACAAGCAGTTGTGTCAGCTTATTGCCGTGTATCTTTTTATCTTACTTTAGATTCCCCGTTATTTGTCTTTGGGCTATTATGTTTCTTTTGTTCGTATGATATTTGACGTTGCTCGGTATTAATGCTTCCCGCCATCGGGTTTTCTACTTTTTGACTTTGGACATTCCTGGTGAAGGTGGGTCCTGAGGAGAAATTCGGACACAAATGGTTTTTACAGTGTTGTTTCTATAGTGTCAACCCTTGTATTCATATTTACCTAATTTTTACTTTATCGAGAAAGTGTATACTATATACGGCAAATACTATCAACGACTTTTTTTGTTGAAATCATAGTCCAATTTACTATCTACTACACCTTTTTGTTGGCGTCTTTGTTATAGTTGTTTGTATGTTTATTTAGATTTTTTGGTCTGTTGTGTAGTATGTTGGTAGTGTATGTCTACACAGTGTTGGCTGCTGGATACCAATTGCTGTTGAATTAACACATGTCTGTTTTTGTTACTCACCCAATTTTGTCAATATACTTGAACTATAAACGACTGTCATACAAGTCAGAGGTTACGCTAGCTATGAAACTAGGTTTAACCCCCATTTTCTTCGAAAAATGCTTGTACCAAGTTGGGAATATGACAGTTGTTTTTCACTTGTTCCGTTGATTGATAGTGTTTGATTTTGTCAGTTTTTATGGACTGCCCCTATTTTGAATTTGCCTTTGAGTTTTTGTTATTCTTTTCCCTTGAAAGACCGAAGCAACCGTTGTCTTTTTATGTCAAATCATCAGAAGTACATGGTCATAGAAAACAATGCATGTTTCAGTATTTTTACAGTATTCAATTTAACATCAGAGTTAAAACCAAGCGCAGAAAGCAAAATCAGTCGGTTAATTTTTCACTTAAATGAGTTGGTATAATTATATATTTTACGAATGAAATATTTTACATGAATTGCACAAAATAAAAAATTATACAATACTGTAAAAAATATTTTGACAAAATTTAGCCTTGTAAGTGTTGAAATGTCATTTATAATGCGCAATTAAAATGATATTGCAGTAGCATTTTTTTTTAATTTTAGTTCATTTATATGTTTCGGAGTTTAGTGTGACGTCCATTTTCACTGAACTAGTACAAAGTTTTGTTTAGGGGCCAGCTGAAGCCCGCCTCCGGATGCGGGATTTTCTTGCTTTGTTGAAGACCCATTGGTGGCCTTGGGCTGATTTCTGCTCTTTGGTCGGGTTGTTGTCTCTTTTACACATTCCCCATTTCCATTCTCAATTTTATGTTTAAATCTGCCGCAGTAAATGGCTTGTTAAAACGTCATCTAATCGTTTTAAATTTGGCGTGTTTGGTAATTTGTTTGACGTCATAAATGTAAAATGTGTAACAAGTTTATTTGGTGATCATATATTTTGACTGCTCTTAATAACTTCTCCAATCAGTCATACGAACAACGTCAAGTTAACCTATAATGCAGACTTGGATAAGAACTTTTTTTTTCTTTTATGAATGCCGACAAAGCTAATTTTTAACAAATCCCTTGCTAATGATTAGTTTAAAGCACATCATGTTCTTCAACTAAACATGCTAAACGAAGCATTTTACTAGTTTATTATTTTCCAGCCTAAACACTTTGAGGAAAAACTCACTACTACCTTAATCATGTTAATTCGTTCACTAAATAAGTTGCATCATGCATAATCATCCAATATTTAGTCTAAACAACTATAGACTGTTCAAATGTTTGCCAAGATTTGAGAAAAGAAATTTGAACGTCTAAAAATATAAAACACATATTGACAAATCAATTTTAAAACCAATCACCTATGAGATTTCTGAAAGTATACACAACCTTTATTATTCGTTAGTGGAAACTTTTGTCATTAACTCCTCATTCCCTTGTATGTATCGTGTTCAGCAGATTAAGTAGTTGAAACATCGCTTTCAATCAGTCTAGAAGCTACACCCAAAACAAACGCATATCACCTCACATTTAAATGTTGCATTGGTTCTTGTGCTCGTCTGTTCTTCGGTGTTAATTATTAATATAAAATATAGCTAAAAAATAATACATACATGGCCATGTTGACAGGAATCGATTTTTAGCTTTGTTTTCTTCTTTTGAACCTTCAGTATGAGCGTGAACAAGCCCTTTAGGTAAGATCTAAAATAAGTTTGGTGTAAACAATTTATCCACTTGAACAACTTAATTTCAGTAACAAATATATTAAAAAAATATAGCATAGGTATTATGTAAACAAGAAATGACTATAGATGAGTATCGATATCAGGAGGTGTGAGACATATATCGTTAGTTGGCAACAAAACGAGTAAAGACAACTCACGGTAAGCAAACAGTTTTTTAACTTTTAAGTGTTACGGAAAGGTTGCTTAAAGAGTTCATAAATGACCGACCTCAACCTATTGGTTCTTCAGGAGTCTGTAGTTTAGTTGTTGTCGTTTGTTTCTGTCAGTTTCAATTATTGTTTTATGTAAAGTCATGGCAAAAATCAGGCCGTTAGTGTTCTCGTTAGTATTGGTTCAATTTTGTATCCAGAACAATTTATAGGTTCTTGGCTTTATTTATTATTAAAGGTCATAAGGTGGCCTGTAGTTGTTAATTTCCTTGTTCCTTGTTTGATAAATGTCGCATTGTCAATTATATTGCTTTTCCTTATTTTATCCGTTTTTTTTTTATATTTTACAACAGAAAGGTGTCTGTGCAATACAAAAGCTTAAATTCTTACGTCACGTAAATTATGGACATTTAGGAAGTATCTATGCATTCACCATTTATAAGAACAAGACAGTGGAACTCGTTATACATGTTATAATAATCATAAAAAAGAAATGATTAAACTTACTTCATATTCATTCTTGAAACCATCGTTCTTTCTTTTCTCGTTGATAACTTTTTTAAGGTCTGCTATAAGTACTTTGTATTTAGTAATTTTTTGTTCAGAAGCTACATTATTATACACGTTTCTTTCTTCTTCTTCATCATCATACTCTTCTGGATATTCGTCTTTTACTTCAGTAACACTTGTTTTACTTTCTTTTTTACTAGACACGGAAGGTTTTGCATGATCTGAATCGTGTACACGTTCTACATTAAGATATACATCCTCCGTCTTCAGTGCATTTTTATGATCTGAAATTTTAATAAAAAAACAAATAATAGATGGATGGATAGAGGAGGAAGAGAAAGAGGGATGTATGGATGGATACATTGAGAGAGAGAGAGAGAACATAATATACGATTTTAAATTTTCCACCGAATATGATGATTTACTCACTACAATACGTATTTTCTAGACTTCCAGTAATCTTGTCCTGGTTGCTGAGATATTTTTCACTTTTAGGTTCAGATCTCCGCCTACAATTACAAAAAAAAACAAAAACTATAGCGGTTTGCCTTTAATGCAAAAGTTTTTAAATTCTCAAATATATTTAAACTTCCAATAATAGTTATACCTCGTGTGATGTTCTATTATAATTGCTATTTACTTGAAGATTTAGTTACTTTTTATTTACTTTGATAGATTAAATTCCTGCGCAATACAATAAGTTCATGAACAAAGCCGTCTGCCACTTAGGGAATATGAACCGTTCAACTTTACGCTGAGATCTTGTATGCATTCTATCGTTTCGATTTGGTAAGATTTTAAGTACCTAGTCTTGAGTGGTTTGTGTGGTTTTGTATTACTTTTTTTTGTCCTTTTGACTGTTTTCCTTTTTCTTTTTTGTAGTCTCTTTTTCTTCGACTTATGGTATTTGGTCTCTAACTTTTAGAACAAAAAATGTTCTTCAATTTTGTTTTTTATTTGTTGGTTTGTTTGTTTATTTATGTACATGTTTTTAGTTTTATTAGTGGAAAGTAAGACCTTCTGTTATAGAGACAGTTCAAATAACTGTCCATTCCTGAAAAGTTCCAAGGAATTGACAGTTATTTCGACCTTCGCTAAATCAAAATAAACCTTGAATAATGAAAACAAAACTTGAGTATCTAAAATTTCGATTAATTCTGTTTTTTCATTATTCCTCATCATCATATCGGAGCATTGAAGTTTATAAAAATCCGCATTATTACAAAAAATCTCGATTCTGTCTTTTGTTTCATTAAATCTTATGAAGAACTGCTCTGTAATCTCATTAAAACAATTCAAAATTAACGTCGTCATGTATATAGCCGATATAACTGTAATATTTACCACTTGACATAAAACAAACAACAGTCAATGAAAGCTACTATGTTACGCGTTTCTATCGAAAATGAATCTTAAACCCCGCATAACTTTTTTAAAGTTGCACTGTTTTAATTTTCTTCAACCTCCTAAAGGTCTGTAAAACAATACCGTATAATGTTCATAAAATCTTAAACATGTGTTAATGGGAAAAAACCAACATGTGTGCATATTTTTTTGGTGGATAATGTGTTTTTTTTCCGTTTTATAAATACTTGATGTAGAATAATCTAAGAAAAACTATCTAGTATACCTATGACAATAACAACAATAAAAGATATTAACGATACTTTAGAATATGCACACCACTGAATGTTCACTATTTTCTAATGGTTTTAAATGCAACAAACGTTTTTGCTGTACGTAATCAAAATACAGCACTACCATAATTTTGAAAGGATGATATACTAAACGGTTCATTTAAAACAAATCTTTCAGTGATGCATATTTTTTCGTTAGTTTTTATTATTGGATTATATAAATGTGATCAACGTTCCAAAACAATTCAATTGTGTGTACAGTTCATATTTTGTAGATGACCAGAAGAAGAATGACACGAATTGGATAGTACTCGTTTTTACCCGCTTGGATATAATCTGTGATATTCAGCCAGAAATGCATTGCAAAAAAAATATCAATTATGAAACTGTCTTAATTATAATTTTTATAGAATCTTAAGTGTACTGTGAATAGTTGATTGCGGATATTGTTGTTGAATCTTAGTGAATCAATGTTTGCTAACCTTAACACACATGATGAAAGACCAACATCGTTAGTATTTTGAAGGTAAACTTACCTGTATATAATAACTATTATTGCCACAACAATTAAAATAACAATTACAGTCGCTATGCCTCCTCCTACTGCTGCACCTGAACTGTTGTCGTTGGGCATAACCACTGCAGACACTGAAAACATCAGAAGTTTTTATCGTGGACGATAAAAGTATTTTTAACTTCTTCTATGTACATTTTAGGCACATTCATACAAATGTTTTAGCATTATCAAGCGGAATCATCAGTTGACAGATTTTGTATTCCGATTTGAGTATACTGTATTGTTTTATCACTAAAATTTCTAGGCAATAATGTTATTTTATTAAAACAATAAATAGCGTACTTGTTTCATGGTATTGTTCTTTCCCCATGATAGCTCTGATTATGATAAATGCATGAACTGCTTTTCTCCCTATAGCTATAATTATGATGCATGCATGAATTGTAACTGTTTTCTTTTATCGTTACATCTAGTATCATTATAGTTGTTATTATTGGATATTTGTTCAGAATAACTGTACAGTATACACTTCTATACATACTGCTGGCCTTAAATAGCTATGTATATGATGTTTAAATAGTAGCTTAATATCATGATATCGTCTTCCGGTTTCTGACTGACATGCCATAATAAAGGCAACAGTAGTATACCGCTGTTCGAAACTCATAAATCGATAGAGATAAAAACAAATCCGTACAAGTGACAAATCACTTATAGTTTTTTAAAAACTTGCTGCAAACGTTCAGACATCCAATGCTTAATAAACCAGATGTGTCCACCGTAATCCGAACCCGCTGTTTAACTGTGTAATACATTCATAAGCTATGAGTAGGCTGCATGAGTCCGATAACAGCCAACGTCCCAAAACGTTAACAGACATTATGAAATCAAAGCAATAACATCATACACATTACCTAGTATGAACGCTCTTTGAGTTTACAAGTAGTCATTGTGATACAATATTCCAAAGAATGGTCAAACTTCCATGGCTCACATAAAAATAGTCAAATCAAAATCTCGGTAAGGTATGGTCCACTACACACAATAAAAAAACTATCTTATTTGGTATGAAACCTTTCTGACAAATGGTCTGAAAGAAGGTGCAGAAAAGAGATCATGAAAGTATCACAGCTTATGGGCAAACGGTATCCAGGTATTAATGTGTATCGGAAAGTCGGATTAACGGATTAAGACTATTGCCATATCCCTCGCGGAACTCGAGGGGGACAATAGGAATGATATTTTTTTATATATCAAGGAAATTTATTTTCTCGGACAAATTCATCGGTAAAAGTAATCGAGTTTGTAACGCTTGGTATTATAATTACTCATTGAAGTTTTCAATTGAATAGTTTATAAGAAATGATATAGTGGTATCAAGTTGTTACATAAAACCACTTCACGACTATGGAAACCCATAAGAAAAGCAGCATCTATTTTATTTTTGTTCACAACATTTAGAAACCTTCAACATGAAGCAAACACTCTCAACTCACTGCAATTTAAAGCCGGTCGCTATCACCGCTAAAAGCGGAAGTTTTTTGTATATGTCAATCCTGCTACATATGTGCATTGATGAACACGGTTGCTGAATAATATCAACAAATCATAAATAAAAAAAAAAACTAGCATGAATTATTCGACAATCGCGTTTGAAATACAGTGAAAATGTAAGCATTTGGTTAAAAACAAAGAGAGAACATAACGATACATGTAAAAATACTCCATATGAAGCAGAGCCTGCATACAAAGTATATATCTCCCAATTAATACGATATTCCAAAGCTTGCGTTCCCTTTATGATTTCCTCGATAGATGATTGCTGCTTGCATGGGTTCCGAGTGATGAAGTTGAAGTTACCATCACGAGTTGGCTGCCCGTTTTGAAATATATGTGTCACAAATGACCACGGATATTTTCAAATTGTCGTAACCGCCATATTGTTCTCTTTTTCTTCGATTGTGTCATCAAGACTTATTACCGGATTTGAACTTGCACAATAAACACAACGACAAGTGGAGCAGGAACTGCGAACTATTCCGGACCATTTAAGTTCACCCCGGGTGTTGGTTTGTCCTGTTGCTCTGTCTGTTGTTTTCTATAAAAGTGTTTTGTGGCCTTATCGCTTTTTCGTCGTTTTTCGTTTAGCTGGAAACTACGTTTATGAACAGTGTAAACATAAAGTTATTATTTCGGAAAAAAATTGCACACATTGCAGGTGTAATACCACCAAATTATAGTACGTCACATCCGGTTGCATACGAAAAAGGGTCGAAAAAAAATATTCCCTTGAATTTGACAGTTGTAGGAAATTAATCCTACATTTCATTGCAGTAAAATATTTCTGAGTCATAAACATATATCTTGGATGTTTCAAAGCACCAATCTTTTTTTATTTGGTGTTTCTATAGAATATTTTGGAAATTTGATGTAACATGGTTTCTGAAGCTTGTACACAGGAAAATAAGGGTTGAAAATTTGATTGGTGAACTTCCAGTGATAGGTATTATCTTATATGCAATGAAATATTATGTGAAATTTTGTCTGTAGTACTGGAAAGGATAAAACTTTACTCATGCCAACTATTTCTTTATTTGAAACAAAGATAAATTCTGCATAATTTTTTTAAAAAGTGCAAATTTAACAAAGACTAATAGTGGAAAAACAATGGTGGTATTACACCTGAAAGGAAAGTCGCGTTTACAAAAACCAAAAACAGTAATAAGCATACCTTTTAATGGAAGGATGAAACAATCAGATGCTAGAAAAGGTCGCAATAAGCCAAGTGCAGCATAACTGTATACATTACACACTAGTTTAAGTAAATAAGCATGTATAAACAGATATATTGAGACACCGAACGCCATTAATGGTAGCACCTGATCTCAAAATTAGCCACGTATTTTTTAGTTCAACATACCTTCGCACTTAACTCCTTCGTATTTTTCAATACATCCATATGAACAATTGCCTTCAAATATTTCACATGACTGGTTGAGGCATGTTGTACACTCCCGTTCGCAATTAAAACCATAAAAACCATTGTCACATTCTGAAAGAGATTCTAAATTAAGTTCTTGTACACACATCACACATCAAAGATTCATAAAGATGCATTGCAATGCTTCATGATGTTATCTGAAAGGCCATATCAACTGTAGGGCGCGTATATTGAAATGCTTAAGTGTGTGCTTTGTTTTCTGTACAGTCGTTTGTTTCCGACTTATGTGTTTGAATATCCCTTTGGTATCTTTCGTCTCTCTTTTAAGAAACGAGTGATGATAATTATCTACAAAACTATTAATTGGTTAAACTAGGGAAATCGCAAACTTCCTTTGCGATGACATTTAGAACAAAGGCTTTTAAAAAACGAGAACTTTCCATCTGAAATGATTCAAATATGTCACTAATTTCAATCTGTTGCTTAATGAAAATTATCTTTTGATACTACTTTTGGAAAATCAACAATTGAACAATGCAACAAATGAGTATTTTTCATTGAAAATTATTCAGAATCAAAACGCTCAAATTCCAGGAAAGACATTAATGCGACTATCAAAATTTGACAAAACGGCAATGCAAAAAATATCATACCGCGCAAAGATGATTGCAGTCACATGAAGCGAATGCAAGTTTGTTATTGGCGAAATTGGACAAAACGTTTGAGATCAATAATTTCTGGTGAAGATTAATGTAGCAATGTGCATCGGAAACATTAAAAATAGTCAACTATAAATGTACATTGTAACTTAACAGTTTAATACAACCTTTAACTCGAACTCACATCATTTTAACTCGAAAAAGAAGTATAATCTTAGTTTTTTTCATCAACGTTGAGTCATGTTTAACTTTTGATTTTAAACCCGACAATCAGTTTTGAACAAGCTTATGGGATCCAAAAACAAGGCCTTGGTTCTTTTAGTTTATTTAAATCTAGAACAAAAACTATATTCTATCTCCCGAATTTTGTGTTCGCTTTTATTAGTTCCTGTTTGACTAGTGACACCTGTCGCATTTCGTATTGTAAAATGCAATTTATAGTAAATGATAAATCAATGGTTACCTTTTGTAGGTTTTATAACAAGGAAGATTCAATTCATAGAGGTATCTTTGTCTAACCTTTGACATTTCCAGATGCATAAAATATCAGAACTTTTAAATGATCTACCATTAGAAATTACCAGAAGTTATATATAAATGCGATTTGTTTTCAGGATAGAGGACTGTGACCGATGGAAACTACAAAGACTATGAAAAATTGAAGATTACAACGCATGGACTGAAATGGGATTGCTCTGTCGGCACAGATGTACAATTACTGTTCTACAATAGTTTCACTCGTCCTGATTCTCATAACAAGCGCACAAATCCTATAATAAGTCGCATTTGGTAATACAATAAATATGAAAAAGGGCAGGTCTATGTCTACAATAAATTGCACATATTCGTAGATCTCTAAGAACTATTCGATAACCTTGTACAAAATCAAATCATCTAAGAGATATCTCATTGGTCCCTTGTTCGCATAACATTTGTGTAGCAGATGTAGCAGATGTAACCAGTGGTAACCGCCAAATACAATGTCAAGTACAAGACAACTTTTAATACGGACCTCAATCGGAAACTATCATGACCTATCCGTATATCTTTGAAAGTGCACCGCTCAAATTACGTCCAATATGTATATATAATACATATATATATATCAGACCAACAATAAACCATAAGATGATAAGCACGATTTTTGCTTATGAACCCGCAGGAAAACCTATGTCATATTTTTCGAATTATCAAGGAAGCAAGTACAATATAATTATCAAAATATAATCCGCTTCTTTTTTTTAAACCAACCATTACTCTGTTTTGTTCATTTGAAATGCTTAGGCTGGTATTGGAATACAAACAATGTTTAATTTGTCATTGAAAAGTGTTTAAAACCCAATTCTGGAATTTGCCAAAGACTTGCCATTTCAATGGACAAACTTTTTTGATTTGCCAGGTCGACAAGCATTGGTTTACTAAAGCAAGATTATTTGATTAAAATATAAATACGGCGATTTGTGATAATGTTCAGTTATCATATAAATTGAAACAGTAAGGTACGTTATAAAGAAAAGGCACAGGAAACGAGGTTAAAGGAAACTCATCATATATTCCAGTATTAAAATTATGTACTTCAGACGCGCGTTTCATTTACAACAGACTCATCAGTGACGCTCAAATCAAAATGTTTAAAAGGTCAAATAAAGAATGAAGTTAAAGAGCATTCAGGACCCAAACTAAAGAACAGTAGTTATGGAATATATAAATTGAATGATTGATTGGTGTTTAACGCCACTTTCAACACGATTGTGCTATTTCATGGCTGTCAGTTTTTATTGGTGGAGGAAGCCGGAGTGCCCGGAGAGAACCACCGACCTTCGGTAGGAAATATGACAATCCTAGTCAATTAAGATTGGAGTCAAGTGCACCTGCCCCGTGCGGGATTCGAACTAACAACCTCAGAGTTGACAGGCTAGTGATGCAGTAGTTCGACTACTTTTTGTTCTCTTGACTACTTAGACCACTCGGCTACCGAGGCCCCTGAAATATATATATATATAGATAATTGTCATGTTAACATTGCTTTAATCTATAGCTGCCTTTGAACTGTTGTGGAAACATTTGAAAAGCATAGCCTACCACAGTCATGTAATTTGTAACAATCATTCAGGTATAAAAAATGTATTTTCTTATACACTTAGCTTCATTACGCAATTGTAATTTAAAGGCCTGGATATTAAAATATGTTTGGAATCAAAGGAAAAAAGTAGAGATATGAAATTTAAAAGAAAACACTTCTTACCGCTTTTCGATGCCTAATGCGGAGAAAGATATGCTTACATGTAACAGTCCAGAGCACATTAAAAATCAACCCGTATTTTTGTAGGATGCGTGTTGCTCAGTCTTTTTATATATTGTTTTGTAAAGTGGTGTATATCTTTTAGTCGTTATTATGTTTTTTTGCCATGTTTTTTTTTCAATCCCTCTACGACTTCCTTATATCAAACGTACGCTAAATGTTATGTAGACTGATGAGCATATGTTAACTTTAATGTAGATTCATAACATCACCGTTTAACAAGTTTCCCTTGCGTGTTGTCATATTATATTAACATCATCAGTTTAAAACGAGTGGTAAACACATTGTACGATAAATATACTTTTTCGGGGATTGTTGTTTTTTTTAAGCTATAATATATTCTTTACGTAGGAAAAATAAAAAGAGCAGGTTCTCCTCAACGCATATTAGACATTTCAAATAAATTTTCAAAATTTATAAAAGTTATACCAACATGATGTTATAAATTGCCAAATGTATGAACAGAAAGAACAAAACAAAATTACTACTCAATCCGTAATATTTTTTATTCTTCGTGGAGATTTTTATTATGATAAAGGCATCCGATTAATTCATATTTCAATTTGATACCACTAAAGAGAAATAGATTGAAAGTAAACCCAGTGAGGTCTGATATATTCTTCATTCTCCCACAAGGCGACATACCAAAAATAAGAAACACAACAGATGAATAAAGAATACACAATTGAAAACTTTTCGTCGAACATACACGCTTCAAGATATGTTTGCAAAGCTTGAAACAGTTTTGGTACATGACATACTGTTTAAAATGATACATTGTATGTCAATACATAATTAACCAAAAAGAAAGAAGATAACTTTAAAGTGACTTTATTTTGTGACGCTGTAATTTATTGGTATTGCCAAGGTTTTTGAAATGAAATTTACGCAACGTTTGGAAATTTAAAGGTTTTATGTTAATACCTATTACATAATTGTTTTTACAATACAACTTAATTGAAACGGTGTGAAACTAACTGACGATATATTTTGTGCAGAAAAGGTGTTTCAAAGTAGAAAGGTTTGTCGCACTAGTGTTTGTCATGTGGTTCAGCATAAAGGAATTAAAGCTTACCGTTATCACATGTTTCACCATGCCATCCTTTTGCACATTCTCTATTATAACAATGACCATTGAACTTGTTGCAAGGTAAAGCGCGACAGTTACATTCCTTTGCACAGTCTTTCCCAAATTTCCAATCCTCGCATTCTACAGATACAAAATAATTATATGTTATACGAAAAATATTAATCTAATTTGTAATGTGTTGACACATTAAAGTTATTCTTTTGTTTACTAGAACTCCTCTTCCCGCCCCAAAATAAAGATGAAAAAAATATACATTCATACAATAAATATTTTTACAAGTTTGGTTAAATTGTCGCGTCTGATTTGCAAATAAATATTTCGGAATATAATCCTTGGACCTATCCATTTAATCATTAAAGATTTCATCCAAGCTTTTTCTTTTGTTGAAGTTCGTGTTAATCAATATCAGTATCTCATTTCTGTGTGTAAATATGTCAATTTGTGTTGTCCTAGAATCAACTGGATGATAGGTAAGAATCCATTCATACATTTGTAAATTGGAATACATGTGTAGCCTCTGTGCATGACATAATTATGATCGTATTTCAAGGTGGCGATAATTGTCGTCTTTTTAAAAAAAACAGTGCCCATTTAATGATTTGTTTATAGCTACATAATTTCATTTTAACAATAGTTTCGTCTATCACAAGTGATGACCAGTTGTTTGACTACTCTGTTTATGCATACCCTGATTGCAATTTTGTCCTTTGACAAAACCTGGCTTACATCCACTCGAATTATTGCATACGCCGTTAACTTTGTCACATTGGTTTGATATGCATCCAAAACAGATCTGCGAACAGTTAATACCAAAATACCCAACGTCACATTCTACAATGAAAACATTATCTACTAGTAATAAAAGTTTTGCTTGTAACTGAGAATAAGGAAATTACTGCCTGCATTCATTCATCAATTGATAAACACGCGAGATTAATGAAAAGACTTTTTAGATAAAAGTTTACTTTTGACAATTGAGAGTCGAGAGTCTAGAGTTGAGACATTTAAAAAAGGGATCATCTCAAAGTATGATTTTACAGTTAACACTACATAACCATATTTGACATAAGCGGTCATCTCAGACGATTTTAATTTTAAATTATCATAAAATCCCCCCATCCTCAGAAACAATATACCAACTTCATTTGCATATGGGATATACATTTCCTAACTCATTCGGTATTCAAGAGATTGTAGCTGCTACTCAGACTTTATAAAACGTCATCACTGAACAGAGAGTTAACATTATCAAAATTTAATTATCTTATTTCTGTTTGTTATCAAATAAAAATTAATAAAGAGCATCATTATGCAAACATCAGCATTTTCCAAACATAAACGAATCTTTTATTATTTCAGATATATTTCTAGTATATTTCTAGATGACAGAGGGTATCAAACAATATATAATATTAATCATGTGTACTGCTGTACCTCGATTTTTTACATTTTTACCTATTATGTCTGTTTGTTTTGTTCACACATTGTTGTCAATATAATGGAATTTCATGCGACTGTCATACAAGTGAGAGGTTAAGCTAACTATAAAACTAGGTTCAATCCACCATTTTCTACATAAGAAAATGCCTGTACAAAGTCAGGAATATGACAGTTGTTATCCATTCGTTTAATGTGTTTGAGCTTTTGATTTGAATTTTCTCGGCGTTCAGTATTTTTGTTATTTTACTTTAGATTAATTTCGAGCAGTGTGTCAAAGTCAGAAGGAAGAAGGCAAAGTGACAATATAAAAATAAGAGGCGAACAAAAATGACACTAAAATAAAACCAAGAATATTGTAGATTTGCATTGTTGCAGGCAACCTCTATGATTCCAAAAAAAAATATTAACAAGTTTTGAAGTTTGCGTTATAACAATGCCTAAAAAAAAAATAATGCATTTGTAATAATCCCCAGAACAGTCCGTCTTTAAAGCAATGTATTACATAGAGACATCTCAGGTGAAATTTAGAATTTATTCATGCGGATTGCTTATAGTTGAAAATAAATTGAAACGATTATGTATGATAAGCATCAAGCCAATTAAACAAACCTTTTGTACAATTGTATCCTTCCCATCCTTCATTGCAACCTGCAGTACACTCGCCTGATACGTGATTACATGGTTGATTAAGCAATTTGCAGAACAATGCCTACTACATTTACTTCCAAAGTTTCCATAAGCACAGACTGTAGAAAAATATGGTCGATTTAGTGTTGTTATCGAAACATTGTGTCATTTAAGCAATTAAAAAAACTGTAAAATGATTCTTTAAAACACGAACACTTTATATCCTAGGGTTTATTCATGATACTTTTGCCAAGAAGCAATGTTTTATCAAATTGTGTTTATAATCCCTGTATCATACACATACGTGTCAAGAAACAAACGTGTTTAAACGATGCAAAGGGACTATGTTATTTCGAAGTTTTGTTTTAAATCAACGCATTTTTACCTGAATCATATCTTTCATATTTTGGTAAATGCTGAACAATCTCGGCTTATATTTTTCACTATGAATATTGTAGCTATTTGGCTTCCCTTTTTCGATCAACAATGTTTTGCATTTAAGTCGAAAAAATGAGTTTGTTTTGAGTTAGCTGTCATTAATCATTCATTACATACTATATTGCCCCCTTTAATCAATCCATAGATGTGCAAATGATAAAAAATATGTTCAGCTCTAATATGTGAGTAAAGGATATATATTGAGAAAACTGCATGACAGGATTTTACAATAACATTAATATATTAACCAATGTCACATCGATAACCAACCCATCCATCTAAACAACCAGATGTACAATGTCCTGTATCTAAGTCACATGGTCCGTTACAGTGGCAAAACTTTTCACAATTGTCTCCGTATCTTCCTAGGGGACACCCTGTGGACAACATGAAACATTGAAATTATTATAAAATTGGTGTTTGATCTAGATAGTTTACTGTAATAACCATCTGTTTGCGACAAGATAATGCATGATATAAAAGATATATAATCGGTTTTAAAAGGCTTGTACTTCGTGTATACATATTATGATTATATTCTGTGATTGAAAACATTCTTAACTGTTTTTATCTTTTATATGTCCTCTTAAGTTCTTAATTGTTCTAATATTGTGCATGTCTCTGAAATCTTTGAATAAAAGAAATAGTAGTAGTGAGCATGAAAATAGCAGCATATATATGGTAATTTCTGCAAAATGACAGAATCTCATATGTCAGTTACACTTTTTGTACAATTTACTCATTTTTTGGATGAAGTAGAATATTATAAGTTTATCGCTTTACCGCCAATTTCAAATTCACACACATCAACTCCACTTGGTGCAGGTGGCAAATATATAATATATCTACAAACGGCATATACATTAATATCCTTAGTTGGACGTTGACCCTTATATAGCAGAATGCCATTAACCCATGCATCACTGGTATTGGAACAGTATACTATATCTTCACCCGTTGTTACTGTTGCATCTGTAAGAAATAAACATACACTAACATCCCTGTAAATACTATATTCTACTATCCCGTTTGTAATAAGTTTTCTAAAGGTACAAACGTCTTAACACAATATGTGAATATATAAGAAAATTTAGTTAAGGTTTTTGCTATCGAAATCCTTGACTAAATAATTTACCAGTAATAAATTAAAAAGATTACGTTCATTGATATTAAAAATGTCAGACACGGGATGAGCAGGCGAAGTGGGATTTATAAAAACCGTTAGATGGGTTCAAAGGAACATCACCGTCCAAAAAAGGAAAACTATCAATAGCAAACGAAAAATCAACGCTTTAGTGGTAAATGTATGTGTTTCGCCTGTAAAACTAAAATATCTAAATCTAGTAAAGGACAGGCATTGCTAATTTTATTTGATTTAGTTATAGCAAGTTCTTTTTGGGTCAATTTCAACAGTATTGTTATAAAATTTCTTGATTATTTAACAACAACATATCATCAATCTAACTGTAAGTGTTGTTGAATTGATCATTTAAATGAAATATAGGCGGTAAGTTTATTATCTAATTTATTAACTACAGTCGGCACACCTCGGCAGATTTAGTTAGATCTACCAAATTGTGCCGTTTGTCCTAAACTGTAAATTTATATTCAAACAATTTATCACTTCAAAAGAATAAGTAATCTTATTCTGGATACATGGAAACAATGTCGTATTCTGATAATCTATAGCCCAATTGTTAGTAGTAATAAAATGCTTTCTGACTATTTTCTGACAAATGTCCAAATAATTTCTTACCACCAAATGTGAAATAAACTGTAGTTACAACACTCAAAGATCCAGTGTCGACCTGTAGGTAAGAACCTGATCCGGTTGTCATGGAGCACAGACCATTTGTCCGGTTTCCATCAATGGCCAAACTTGCTGGATGATTTGGTTTAGGTTGATTTTGCATGGCTGTCCCATTGGAAGCTAAATTATCTGTGACATAAACAATTTTATCAACACTGTATGATACTTTTGTCAGGAAAATGCTTTTATTTAACATTTGCGTAACCAGCACACAGTTGCTTTCTTCAAACATGTTTGATATAAGCAATAGTATTTAACAATTGAATAATGAAGAACATTGAAATTTAAAAAAACATAAAAAAAAAAAATCAAAACACAAAACACAAAAAATTTTTTTATTAAAATACCTTTAGAAGTTTAAAAATGTTTTAATTGTAATTTGGTTTTCAATTTCAAAAAATTAATATCGAAGTATGATGTATATGTCTATAAAGAGGATAAAAGATTGTAAAACACATTTTAAAAATCAGATTTACATAAAGCTTCTATTCATTTTATATTAATTTTCATTTTAATGGTAACCACTACTTGCTTTCTAAAAAAAATTAGAAGAAAACACCTACATTTGTTACAGTACTGTCCGGCTCGTAAAGCTATGCATCCATCAATACAAGCACCTGTATTTATATCACATTTGTTATTAAAACAGTTATGTTTGTCACATCCCCAGACACAAGAACCGTTTTGAGGATAGCAATTATTGTCTATGCATGTTGCTGGGCATAATTCCGTACAGTTTGTGCTCCATGTACCTTTGAAGCAGCCTACAATAAAAATTATGTTAGTACTAATATGTACAAAATTCATATTTCATGTACAAATGTATGCTACAATCTCCAAAAAAATCATTTTCCTTCTAATCTGACTGAAATACATATCTTGTGTCATTGTATTGGTAGAAAACGATCTTACAACGATCAATCTGATACAAAATTCGGAAGATATTTTCAGACATAAATATATATATATAATTATGACTTATTCAAGTCCAATGTTTAACAGTAATGTCTGGAAAATAATTTCTTTCGAAATATTCCTTGATAACTATAGTATACATTTACGACAGAGAATATACGTAATATGAACTAGACATATATTTATTAAGCTGTTGAATATGTTGATAAAAACGTTCTCAAATAGGATATGCACCTGTTGATAAAAAAAATTAAGTTATTTCGTAAAAACAAGACGACGTATTTCCGTTTATTGAAACATCGGTGGATTGTGGAATGCCTGGTACCAAGTCAGGAATATGACAGTTGTTATCTATTCGTTTGTTGTGTTTGAGTTTTTGATTTCGCCATTTGCGTAGGGACTTTACGTTTACAATTTTCCTATGTGTTTGGTATTTTTGTTATTTTACTTTTTGTTCAATCAAATAATATATTAACATAAGAAGGGTGTATAACAAAGCAACCAAGATCCAATACAATATAAAACCTTTCCAGATAAGATTACAGTCTACCGCGCGTCTTGTGTCAGTGCTTATGCCATGACTTAGCGGAATGCCGTTTGTCGGTGCAATTATTTTGCCATTCAATTTTTAAAATTAATTAGATGTTCAAATTTATTAATCAAACAAGTCTTCACAAACCCATGTAAATAAATGTTTTCCGATACTAGAAAATGGTCCCTTAAATCTTTGCACAACCACAAATGTTGGAGAATTCTTCTTCCTATGAATTCCATCACATAACGATTGATTCTTACATAAATACTGTTTTGTATACGTTTGAATACGTTACCATAGATTGCTACGTAACACAATTCCACATAGCAATTTTTTTGATTTCTTCTGTTGACGAAGTACATATTTTTGGCCAGCATATTACAAGTAATGTTCTGAGTAATGTTAGGCAAGCCTGTTTTTCCTAAGTCTGTGTAGCAAAGACCGCTTTTGTTACTTTCATCAGCGGTTCCATTCCCTAGATACAATCGAAACTGATCCATACGAGATCCAACTGTAAATTAGAATCAAATGATAAATGACAAACAATAATATTAAAACTGGAATTAAAAACGGTCTATAAAGATTTCAAACTTACATTTTTTGTTGTCAACATGATATTTTATCAAACAGAAAAAGGATAGAGAAAAAAACGACACTTTTATTGATAAAGTGAGTAGTTGTTCTTGCTGCTCCTTATAATTCTTGTAGATATTTACTATTACTAACAAATCTGAATGTCAAATATTTGCAAATATTAAATTTAAAAAAAAACAAAAATGTATATTATATTGATTAATGACAAAGATATATTTTTTGTAAATTTTGTGCAGAAATCTCAATTATGGGGATACTATAACTTCATTAATATATTGAAAAATATACATTTGACTTGCAATGTCTTTTTTTCTATAGTAAAATAGAGTGGATTAACAGCTTGATTCAAAAATATTTCAATGACATCGACATTACTTGAATTATGTATGTTTGTTCAAAACATATTTGTGGGGTCATTTTTTTTTTTCTCGTCTTATTAAAGACAAAATAGACATAAGGAGATAAGATACGATTCCAAATTAGGCAACTACTAACATGAGACCAACGGATAAAGATGATAACAGCGATAGGTACGGCCTCTAAAAATAAGCAGAATCAATATTATTTCATGTCGACTGAGATTTGCTGACTTCTAAGGTATTGATACCCACGAAAACGTCCACCAGCTTTGGCATCGACGCAGTGTTTGTAAAGCTCATTTAGGATAGCAATTCGGATAATTATACAGAATGTCAAAAAAGGCGATAGTTGGCAATAATAAATTTTTGTTCTTATTGTTTTCGATATAACATGATTTGAAATTGTTAAACATACATATTATGAGCAATTTGTTTACATTTCCAGATTTCAAACAAACTCGTTTTTGTGTGTAAATCAAATTACATAAACTGTTTGATAAATGAATTAGGTATTGACAATTCACTTGGAAACTCAACATATACCCCCACGACACGTACCAAGGAGGAAATCCTGGATAATCATAGGTCTGTCCTATGTTCCTTTGGAACCAATGATGAAGAATCGGATTTTCCTTCACTGTATTGGATACCTAAACTACATAAGTGTCCTTAGAAACAACATTATATTGCTGGGTCTTCCAAGTGCTCCACGAAACTCTTGCTAAATTATTAACAACAATGTTATCAGCAATCAAAGCCGAGCTTTTAAGTTATTGTGAAACTACCTATTCTAGAGGTGGCGGGAATCAGATGTGTATTCTAAAAATACCAAAGATCTTTTAGAGTAGATACAATCTAAGACTCTTTCTTCTTGAAATAGTATTAAAACATTTGACTTTTCAACACTTTACACAAGTATTTCCAAAATGCATGATCAATTGAAAGAGTTGGTCCTATTTTCTTTTATAAAAGATAATGAAGTACGTAAATACAAGTTGCTTGTATTGGGGAGGGATACTTCGTACTTTGTTAAAAATCACTTCCTTCAAATAATAAATTCTCTGATACTGACATTATCAAAATATTTGATCTTTTGATTGACAACATATTTTTTACGTTTGGAGGACGTATTTTTCAACAAACAATCGGCATTTCCATGGAAATCAACTGTGTTCCTTGTCGACACTTTCCTTTGTTCATTTGAGACAGGAACTTCTTGAGAAAAGAAATTAGAAAAAGAAAAGAAATGATTTCAGCTTCCCGATTGTGAACTTTCCATTACAATCACTAGGTTAATGGTTTAATGCCAATATTTGTGTAGTCTTGTCCCTGGGGATATCAACAGCCCAGTAGTAGGCACTTTTGTTTTAAATAAATTGAAAACAACAGGTTTAATAATTTCATGCGTCCGAAGCGCTTTTCTGGATTTACCTTCATCAGGAACGCTCAAAGCCAAACATTTGAAATCCGAGGGATGTATAAGTACCGAAACAGTTGAAAAGCTATATGACAAAAATACCTAAAATAAATAGCCAAATCCATCTAAGGTCAACTTTGCTTGAGGGAGTTGAAACCTTAGTTTCTTTATAATTTCAAAATTTATAAACGGGCAATTTTAGAAAAGGTTGTTATAAATCATGTCAATACCGAAGTACTGACTACTGAGCTGATGATACCCTCGGGGACTGATAGTCCACCAGCAGAGGAATCGACCAAGTGATGTAAAAAATTGAAAACAACACGTTAAATAATTTCATGCGTCAAAATACAGTCATTTTCTGCAAAATGTTGACTAACCAGCTTTGTAATTTGTGACGAGTGTCACACTAAGGACAGGAAAGAAATTTAAACTGGTTCGTGTGGTCCGATCTTTAGGGACACATTTCAATAAGATTAAGTTCTGGTACAAAGACCACCAAACCTTTCTTGGCAACGTTTTTTCTATTTGGCGTATTTAAGGGTCTCCCACAAATTCCCTTCTCGGTTAGTTCGACATCTGTTTGGATCGGTTTTGATCGTTATTAACTTTTACCTCGAAGAAATTACGAACGTTGGTGTTTCAATACTCATAACCCAAAAGTATGTTAAATAGTCCCTCTTAAAAGTCAGAGCCTAGCCCAAAAAGTCAAAAATGTCTGGTAACATTTTCCACCGACATAGTGAGAGCCCGATCCCTTTCTGTCGCTTTTTTTCCCCATTCCCATATGTCTTTCTTTGGGCTTTCGAACTCGTGGCATTGGCAATTAAATTGTACTGTTAATCGATGTTACAACGTTCAGTCAGCTTATTCGATTAATGAATGAACTCAAAATTAAGGATAGGCTATGTCGTATATGTCCCTTATTAGTTGTTTGATTTTTCATGACATGCCTATGTTAGGACACATAAAATGTATAACGCCTTCCGTATAAACACATCGTACGTAGGGATAACTCTAGTCAGAGTCAATCACACGAAGACTGATACTGTATGATTCATACACTGTTTTCATTCGCAGGGGCGACGACATTTTATGGGTTGATCTTGTACCATTCGGTATGACTCATTAGGAATAGCGATGTGTTCGTGATTTTATAGGGATAGGATTTGTGTTTGACTCAAATGGTGTGTTGTCATCTGTTACGAATAGATAACGTCAATTAGGGATTGTGGTGTCAAAGCACCATGGAATTTTCTGTTGACTTTATCACCTTATAAAACTGAAATTAACGCCATGTCTAGAGTACACAGTAAAACAACTGAAATAGTATACATGATTAAGATTGGTATGTTTTAGGTTATTTTTCAAGACCTTTCGGTATTTTGACTGTTTAACAGTACATGTCTTTAACACAACAAAGTATTATTATTGTTTTTTTTTGCCATGGCATTGTCAGTTTCTGTTCCACTTCAACTTAAAACAAAAAATTCTCTGAAACTGACATTATCAAAATGTTCGATCTTTTGATTGACAACATATTTTTTACTTTTGGAGGACGTGTTTTTCAACAAACAATCGACATTTTCATGGAAACCAACTGTGTTCCTTGTCGATTTATTCCTTTATTCATATGAGACAAGAACTTCTTGAGAAAATACATTAGAAAAAGAAAAGAAATGATTTCAGCTGCCCAATTGTAAACTGTCCATTACAATCACTAGGTTAATGGTTTAATGCCAATATTTGTGTAGTCTTGTCTCCGGGGATATCAACAGCCTAGTAGTAGGCACTTCTGTTTTTAATAAAATACAGTCATTTTCTGCAAAATGTTGATTAACCAACTTTGTAATTTGTGACGAGTGTCACACTAAGGACAGGAAAGAAATTTAAACTGGTTCATGTGGTCCGATCGTTAGGGACACAGAATAATAAGATAAGATGCAGTTCTGGTACAAAGCCACCAATCCTTCCTTGGCAACGTTTTTCCATTTGGCGTATTTTAGGGTCTCCTACAAATTCCCTTCTCGGTTAGTTCGACATCTGTTTGGATAGGTTTTGATCGTTGCTAACTTTTTCTTCGCAGAAATAACCAACGTTGATGCTGCAGTACACATAACCCCAAAGTATGTTAAATAGTCCCTCCTCGTAAAATTCAGAGCCTAGCTCAAAAAGTCAAAAATGTCTGATAACATTTTCCAACGACACAGTGAGAGACCGATCCCTTTCTATTGCTTTTGCTTCCAATTCCCATATGTCGATTCTTTGAGATTTTGAACTCGTGGCATTGGCAATTGAATTGTACTGTAAATCGATGTAACAACGTTCAGTCGGCTTATTCGATTAATAAATGAACTCAAAATTAAGGATAGGCTATGTTGTATACGTCCTTTATCAGCTGTTTGATTTGTCATGACATGCCCATGTTTGGATACATAAAATGTATAACGTTTTCTGTATAAACACATTGTACGCAGGGATAACTCTAGTCAGAGTCAATCACACGAGGACTGATACTGTGTGATTCATACACTGTTTTCAATTCGCAGGGGTGACGACATTATGGGTTGATTCTATACCATTCGGTATAACTAATTAGGAATGGTGATGTCTTCGTGATTTTATACGGATAGGATTTGTGTTTGACTCAAATGGTGTGTTGTCATCTGTTAAGAATAGATAACGTCAATTAGGGATTGTGGTGTCAATCAGTCCCCTTCGAAAAAAGCACCATGGAATTTTCTGTTGACTTTATTACCTTATCAAACTGAAATTAACACCATGTCTAGGGTACACAATAAAACACCCGAAATAGTATACATGATTAAGATTGATATGTTTTAGGTTATGTTTCAAGACCTTTCGGTATTTTGACTGTTTAACAGTACATGTCTTTAACACAACAAAGTATTATTATTGTTTTTTTTGCCATGGCATTGTCAGTTTCTGTTCCACTTATAAGTTTGAATATCCCTTTGGTATCTTTCGACTCTCTTTTGTCATGTTTGTTATAATATATATTTTCCCTGCATCCATTAAACCTGTTTAATGTTTTGTCAAGGATTATAAACTCCTCTTTCTTGACATCGTGTTGATGATGTTTGAAATCAGGAAAAACCAGGGTGAACTTCCTCTACCACTTTTCCACATTTATTAATTGCCCAAGCTGGTCGATAATCCGTTTCTACTAATCTTAAGTTTTCGTTATAAAAAATGTTATATTTGTAAATTACAAGTTCAGTTGAACCAACATATATCAACTACGATAGTTGTTTTTACAAAGAGAAAGAGGCTTTCGTTTTATGTATATAAGTGGAACACATTACGGATGTATTAAGGTCAGGTTTAGGAATTTTTGTCAGATTTTGGGACTCCTTGGTTGTTTTCCTACGATACAGGGTAAAATATTTTGCCCCATAACATCCAATTTTCTTTTCATAAAAAACTTCAATAGCTCATAAAAGGTCATTTACTAAAATTTAAGCAGAATCAAGATTTCTTTTCTTTCGATTTGAGACCCATATAAACCGATGCAAAAATAAGGTTCAAGTCTGAGTTAACCTTTTCACGCAATTTCAAAAACAAATATCTCGAAAAGGAGCTCCATAACCTATCAAAATTTTCAATTATTTTGTTCCTGAACTAATGCTCTTCTGGTTTATAGTATCAATCTAAAATTCCAATTTTTTTTTTAATTTTACCTTGGTACATCCTAAAAGGACACAATCTTATGAGAAATCGTTAGAACCTGACAAAAAAAGAACATTTACGTATTGTTTTGGAAAAATAAAAGGCGATTTTCTCTACAAAAATTAAAGTTCGTCCACATGAACATATAACGTGACTTTACAAATTTTATCAATTCAATGGACTAAATGAAAAGAAAACTCTTTAATACCAGCATGATAGACACATAGCCAGTAATACAATGCAAAATAATAATCTAATTTAATCCTAACATAAGCTGAAAAAGAAGTGTTATACCAAAACCATTTAACTCCAACGTAATTTCAAAAAGAGAAAGTCAAAACTAAACACTCGGCAAAATCAAACAACAGAACGGCCGGAAAACAAAATGGTTTGGGCTTTCTCCGAAGAAAATGGTGGATTAAATTAGTAATTAGTTATTTTTTTAATATTGTAGCAACCTACCTTTCTAATCTTTCCATTGCTTGTTTTACAAAATTGAAAAGAAAGCGTTTCCGGAATTGGAAAGCAAGCGTTCTGAATGTACACCGTGATATTGGGAAAACAGATTTAAGATGATCAACAAATTGCGCCTCCTCGTCCTGTGAAGAAATATGACTCGCAGTGTCTGTATTGGTATATGGTACTAGCGTGGAACACCTTTCATTGATATTCCATCTTTGAAAGCTGGTTGCATTTGTTAGAGTTGTAGGTGTTTATACTTTTGCATGTTTTGTTTCTCTTTATTTTGCCGCCCCCTCCCCCCCCCCCCCCCCAAACAAAATTTAAAAACAACACAAATGAAACAAAGGAAATATACAAAATATGATAACAAACCAATAATTGGAAAAAAAATTCACTGTGATTTTTTGTTTTTTTTATTTATACAAAAAATATGTTTGGAGCTAAAACAAAAATGGTTCAATTAATGATGTTGAAAAAAATATCATTGGCCTTCAATGGGAAAATGTCACACGACCTATAACTAAATGGTGACTCATCGTTCGATATGTCAACAATGTTGCTGAGGAGATTTTCCAAATAGCTCAACGAAATTCTTGTCACGGAATAAAACGGAAAAAAATAGTGGAAAAAGGCATTTTACAAACTTGTTTGCAAGAAAAGGAAAAACTAACCTTTTTCTTTTTCGTATTGGTAAATTTATGTATGACTTCACGATTTAAATGGATATTCCCCAGTGTCACGAACTTGTCAGCATAACGAACTTGTAAGCAAGTGAACAATTTATCAGTGATGTTTCTTATCTTATTTTGACAAATTTTAACCAAATTGGCTGCTTAAGGCGAATTTTTATTTAACTTTATCACTTTCGTTAAAGATTGAACAAAAAAAATCATCTTTTACTTTTTGTATATCTCGTAGCTAATATGTTTTTCAATATTGATCATGTATAAATGATCAGTTCTCAGACAGATGCAATAGTTATAAATGGACAATTTGATTGTATTTTAATCACTGGTTAAAAATGTATTATATCATCATTTTTATTTAGCTTCTAACGTGTGTACGTATTTATAGATCCCAGGCTTTCATATCCTTAAGTTTGAGCGTTCCTGAAAAAGGTTAATCAAGAAAACACTTCCGACGCACCAAATTTCTTACGTGCTTTACCATTTTGTAAATTTTTGATGAGGTGATATATCATTACCAAAATTAATTAATTAACAACTTTAAAACAAAAAGTATCTGCATATACGATAGAATATTGATTTTCATAAACAATGTACTTTTTTTTTAAAGAATAAAACAAATTATTAGATAAATCAAAATTCTAGTTTAAAGCCTACTTTGCAAATATTTCTTTTATTTGCTTAATAGATATAAGAAGATGTGGTATGAATGACAATGAGACAACTCTCCATCCAAGTCACAATTTGTAAAAGTAAACCATTATAGGTCAAAGTACGGCCTTCAACACGGAGCATTGGATCATACCGAACAGCAAGCTATAAAGGGCCCCAAAAATGACTAGTGTAAAACCATTCAAACAGGAAAATCAACGGTATAATCTATTTAAAAAACGAGAAACGAGAAACACTTATGAATCACATCAACAGACGACAACCACTGAACAACAGGTTCTGACTTAGGACAGGTGCAAACAAATGCAGCGGGTTTATACGTTTTAATAGGCGCCAACCTTCATCCTAACCTAAAACAATAGTGCAACATCACAACATAGAAAGACACACTGTAAAATATCAATTGAAATGGCTTAACTCAATCAAAAGACATATTAACAAAAACAAGTGAGCATACACTGAACGAATAAATTTGATCTATGACACAATATAAATACAAAATTATTAAAACAAGTGGGTCTGATGTAAAACAATATCAGAAAGACAACCAAAACCTTGGACAAAATGCCGCCAAATAAAATAACGTACACAGGTAAATAAAAATAATTTTGTTGTAAGGTATACACGGAGTACGGAAATATCTTTTACAAAAAAAATAATTTGTGAAAATTTATCGTCATACCAAACACTTATCAAAGGTGGAAAATATTAAAAATAGTGAGACGAGAATGTTCAGAAATGCAGTGTTTTAAACTTAACGTTCAAACACGTTGCTTGGAAACTATCGATTATAGTAGACATTGGAAGACGTTTGAAAATTAATCTATCATGAAACAATATTAGGAAACTTAGCTCTATTTGTACAGGATTCCAGAACAAAATAAGTATGGACATTTGAAATACTAGTATGTTGAAAGAGTATTAACTAAAATGAATGTTAGAATAAATACAAATTTAATTGCTACTGAAAGATGTACGTGTATGCTTTGCACTATTCATATATTGGTGAAATCTATTATAACTTACAATCTTCCCGGTAGTATATCAAAATGTTTGTCATATGAGCAAGTGCTGGAAGTTGAAGGCCCCACCATGCGTAGTTTTGTCCATTAGCTGTAACAGAACATCCATCAGTCCATTTATTATTCGCAGGACCTTCTATTGCAAGGATTGCGTAACGTTTTGGATAAGTTGTTTTTTGTACCGCTACTCCATGTGGCGCAAGATTTACTGTAAAAATGAATGGTACAAATACATTACAGTAAATACGGTATTTTACATTCTATTTAATAAGAATGGCCAACTGTTAGTTATCCGTTCCCATTTTCAAATATCACCTCTAAAACAATTGTAATGTTTTGGTAAGTTTAGTGAGCCGACGCCCTTTCTTTGTTAGAAAGCATGGTGTATGACCGGTTTGATTGAAGTTCTCTGTTTTCCTAGTGACAGTCTTATCTTTGCGTTACTGATCTTAGACGTCCCACCGAACCGTCCTTCTTTACAATGATGTTGTTAAACGAGCTCGTAAATTTAGATACTTTAAATCTTTTAAACAAACTTAAATTAAACGCTGTAATAAGAATTTTGAATATAGTTTGATCAGTATAAATATTGATGTTGTTATCATTACATTATCACCAAACAAAACATTAGTGTTATACACATATGTACATTTACGGTTATACAATCCGTCGATACCTATATTTTTGCATTGCTCAAGGTCGTGTTTTCTCTGACTGTTGATGACGTTTTACACTATATCAATTGGATGTTGGATGTGTACTGATTGATATATTAGCCTTAGACACGTGATTTGTATTAGTTGTTTGTGGCTTTGAACTAGCTTTCAGTTAACTGCAAATACATTCAATTCTGTACTTTGTGTCTTTTGTGTTTGGGTTAAGGTTTTTAATTGTTTTGTATCCATATGATGAGTTAAGACTATTTCAACTGATTTTCATAGTGTGATTTTATGTCGTACTGTTACACCACTGTCCCGGGTTAGGGGGAGGATTGACGCCAGCAAATATGTTGAATCCCGCCACATTCTGTATTTGCCTGTCCCAAGTCTGAAATCTGCAATTCAATAGATGCTGTTTACTTCTACTAGTATGTCATTTGGAGTTTGGTGGAGAGTTGTCTATCTATCTATCTATTATTATTGTTAAGATATAAGGCAAAAACGCATAAAATTGGTAAAAATCGTCATCAAAGATCAATAACTCTATTAAGGAGTCGACAATTTCAATCATTAGACTTATTTGCCGAACTTGTCTTGGTGAACATTTTTTTTCAATTCAAGGTTCTCTCTATCTACTATCTATTATAGTTTTCAAGATAATAGACAAAAATGAAAAAAAGGGTAAAATTTGTCTTTAAGGGCAATAATTTCTATAAGAAGTCGTCTGACAGTTTTGACATACATGGACTATTGGTAGAGCTCAACATTCTGAACATGTCTGCCTTTGTCAGATTTTCTCTTTTTATAACAGTTTTCAAAATAATAAACAAAACTTGCATTTTACCCCTATGTTCTATTTTTAGCCATGTCGGCCATCTTGCTTGTCAGGCGGGGTCATTTTTTTCAATTTTTTAAACTATATACCCCAATGATGATTGTGGCCAAGTTTGGTTAAATTTCGCCAAGTAGTTTCAGGGAAAATTTTTGTAAAAGTTAACTCACGACGACGGATGACGGAAGCCGGACGACGGACGACAGACGTCAAGTGATGAGACACCACATATCGTAGAAGTTGACAACGAAATGTCACTGCACGGCCTGCAACAATGAGCAAAACCCATACCGCATAGTAATATATAAAAGGCCCCTAAGTGATAACTATAAAATAATTCAAACGAGAAACTTACGGTCTGGCTTATGAACAAAAGAATAAACGAAAAACAAATATGATATACATGTATATGTATAGCAGTGTATACATTATGTCAAGGTCTAAATCGTCCATGTCTATTGAATGTGTGTCAAAATAGTCAGAAACTTTTAAAGATCTGCCAAAATTTTACAATCAAAAGATAGATATAACTCAAGATAATTATGACGAGAACATGCTTATCAATATGTCGTCTGGTAAAACCGTAGGGTTTTTAATTTTAGATTAAATACTTCCTTTTTCAATCTCGGTTAGTGGATTGGCAACAGTTTTAAGAATAAAATCAATAACAATATTCATTAAAGGAAATACACGTAACTCTGATATTTAAAGTGAGCTCAAATAACTTAACCTGCTGTAATGATTTTAGTTAATTTTACTTGGTGTTCCAAGCTACAACATGATAGAACAGGAGCCATTATACTAGTTTGACGTATACATGTACATGTATTACCATCTGATAGTTTCATTTTGATATGTAATGCTGCAGATTTTTTTTATATATTTTTACTTACTTTGTGCTGCTACAGCCACAATAAAAGTCTCAATGATAATTGAAAGTAGTACTAGCTTTAACATGTTTAAGCTCATCTGAAATAAAATTTCATTCAGTATCATAATCACTTTTGAAAAGAGTTGAAAATAACTAGCGCTTTAATGTTATTGAAATATATTTCTGTTTATTATTAATATGACTATCAGTTCATGTGAAAGTTAACCTGACATGATTCATCAACATATTTCAACACTCGTTACATAGCGGGTATCACTTATGGAGCAGGAATTTCTGACCTTTCCGGAGAACTTGCGTTTACTCCTGGTTTTTATGGGTTTAGTAATACTCATTATTTATGTTTTGTGTTGTATTTTGTTGACTGCTGTTTGTCTTTGGAAATTTAAATTTTGACCATAAACAAACCACAATAAGACAGAATAAAATCTTCTGCTCCAGGAAAATAATATATATATATAAAAGTCAATACATTTTGTAGACAACGCATCACATGTTCATACTTTATTATAAGATGCATGTGATTATCCTTTTTTAATATTTTATGAACATGTTAGTTAAAGATATACTATATATATATATATATATATATATATATATATATATATATAAGTGCCTATAAATAGCAGCACATGACATACAAATCTATGGGAGTGTGGATTAATCAGTACAGAGATTAATTCAATTACACAAATAAAATTATAGATTGCCTAACAATGTAATTTTAACACACTATTTAGTATGTAAATATAAGAATGTTTAAAATATTTACAAAATGATGAAAATAAACGCAATATTTCGCTAGACTAACTAGCTTTATCAAGCGTGCATCTATCCAGGTGAAATCGGATGTAGATGATAAGAAACTTTTGCAGCTCAATGTATATGTTGCACTTGAATTTAGCTGCCTTGAAAATAATACATAATTTGGATGAAGTTCAAGATTTTTACAAAATTGGTAGTTGAAGTTAGCAACGTCCATTGGCCAATATTACAGGATAAAAAGGACGATGCTGTGTACTAAATTATTCTTTATCTTTCCTGTATCTTTTCTCATCTTTTTCGTTAAGACCATCAGGTTCTAAAGTGTGGAGTTGGTGGATCCAAAAATTTTCTCTTCTCCTTCTCGCCGTGGTGTCCCACTCGGTGTTGACTTCTATGATTTGGAAGGTAACATTATCAAAAGAATGTTTCGTTGAACGAAGATGTCTTGTGAGAGGACAGTTTTTGTTGGTTTTGTACCATGAACGATGGTTATTGAGCCGAATATTAAATTTGTCCATTGTTTCTCCCACATACTGAATGCCACATGTGTCACATGTTAATATATAAATTGAGTTCTCCGTTTTACAGTTGGAATTTGAGTAGATGGTATAATTTTGTTTAGTAACGGAGCTGATGAAAGAACTGCTTGTATTGGCAGCTTTACAACACAAGCAGTTCCTTCGACCACATTGTTTGTAGCAACCGGGAGATGGAGTAGGCTGCTTTGCTAATACAGATGTCACTAATTTGTCACGGATGTTTTTAGGTCTTCTGAAGGCCATGACTGGTGGTGAGGAAAATACTTTTTTAAGATTTGAATCATTTTCTATAATTTTCCAATGCTTCTGAACAATGGAAGACACATTTTTAAAATCAGGATGGTAAGTGAGTACAAGGGGTGTTCTGTTAGCTGCTTTATTCTTATCTTTGTACTCTAGAAGTTCTTGGCGACTAGTTTTGTTTGCTCTTTCGAAAGCGCTATCAATGATGTTGTTATTGTATCCTCGAACAACTAGATGTTTACGTAGTTGTCTTTCATCAGCTCCGTTACTAAACAAAATTATACCATCTACTCAAATTCCAACTGTAAAACGGAGAACTCAATTTATATATTAACATGTGACACATGTGGCATTCAGTATGTGGGAGAAACAATGGACAAATTTAATATTCGGCTCAATAACCATCGTTCATGGTACAAAACCAACAAAAACTGTCCTCTCACAAGACATCTTCGTTCAACGAAACATTCTTTTGATAATGTTACCTTCCAAATCATAGAAGTCAACACCGAGTGGGACACCACGGCGAGAAGGAGAAGAGAAAATTTTTGGATCCACCAACTCCACACTTTAGAACCTGATGATCTTAACGAAAAAGATGAGAAAAGATACAGGAAAGATAAAGAATAATTTAGTACACAGCATCGTCCTTTTTATCCTGTAATATTGGCCAATGGACGTTGCTAACTTCAACTACCAATTTTGTAAAAATCTTGAACTTCATCCAAATTATGTATTATTTTCAAGGCAGCTAAATTCAAGTGCAACATATACATTGAGCTGCAAAAGTTTCTTATCATCTACATCCGATTTCACCTGGATAGATGCACGCTTGATAAAGCTAGTTAGTCTAGCGAAATATTGCGTTTATTTTCATCATTTTGTAAATATTTTAAACATTCTTATATTTACATACTAAATAGTGTGTTAAAATTACATTGTTAGGCAATCTATATATATATATATATATATATATATATATAAGTCTAGAGATTTGCACAACGATACTAATATAAGATGGTATTATACGAAGATGTTGTTAATAAATCGTGTTGACAAATATTTCGGCTTAACAAATAGCCTTCTTCGGTGTCAATTATTTTAACAATACTGATAATATGTATAAAAATAGCTCAATAATACAGGTAAGTTTTGGTCTATTGATTTAATCCAAAATCCTGAACATCATAATATTAAACAAAACTCAATACTCATATATACGTGACTGTGTATATTTACAACCCAAAATGAGTGAAAAATAAAACTTAGTATTTTTTATTGATGCCGTTTGGATGATGTACATTTAGTTCCTTTATCCAAAAGCTTTCCCGAACCTGTCGCTGGGCATCACTCCAGTGAATGTTCTGTTCAATCACTAGGATCTTCATGCGGTTAAAGTCATCAAGTGTGTGACCAGACTGTCTGAAATGCTGAGAAACTGGGAGAATTGGCTTCTTAGAGATATCACTCCTATGGCCATTGAGGCGTTTGTGGAAAGGCTGCTTTGACTCACCAACATATTGGAGGCCACAAACCGAACATTCTAGAATGTAAATAACATTCATACTTTTAAAGAAAATTCCGTAGGGATGGCATCGAACATATCAATCCTTCTTTACCATCTGAAAAAAAGAGAAAACGAGTAAGACGCTTTAAACGTAGGTCACTAGAGACTGATTCGCCCTCCAACATTGTGGTCAATCTTTCCAAACACCAGTTAACGGAAGCTGAAACATCTCTTCTCTCGAGAGGCTTAAATTTCGGTCCTTTACCTGCCCCTCTCAATGAAACTAAATTGTCGGAAGACCTTGACAATTTTGCCAGAAGTCTACGCATTAAGGAATATTTCGCGTCGAAGGAGAACAACAACAGATGCTCGGATAGCGACTCAGAAATTTCAGAAGACGAAAACAACTACAATTTTATAAAAAAGAGTACTTGGATCCCTAAACCGAGCAAAAATGCCACCTTGGAATCATTTATTGACAATTTTAAGTCGGACATTATTAGAAATACTAGAAATAACAATAAACCTTTTGACAATCTTACCAATGAAGAACGAACTGCACTGAAAAACTTACGATCTAACGACAATATCGTCATTAAACCTGCAGACAAAGGCAGTGCAGTGGTTGTCATGGATAAATCTGCCTATATTCAAGAGGCTGAACGACAACTTGGCGATGCAAGGTTCTACCAAAAACTAGACTCTGATCCTACAACATCGTTTAGCAGAGAAATAACTGATAGTTTGGTAGAAATGCACAACGATGGTTTCATCGATGAAAAGACTCTAGAATATTTGAAACCAGAAAATCCAAAACCGGGCAGATTTTATCTTTTACCTAAAATTCATAAGGCCAATAACCCAGGAAGACCTATAGTTTCAGCGAACGGTCATCCGACGGAAAAAATATCGGAATTCGTTGACTTCCATCTTCGTCAACATGTTGAGGACTTACCATCTCACATCAAAGATACTACCGATTATCTTAGAAAATTGCAGGCCTTAAATCCACTCCCCTCCGACACGACACTTGTCTCTATGGACGTCACCTCCCTCTACACAAATATTCCACATGCAGATGGCATTGATGCATGTAAAGAAGTTTTGAATTCCCGACCAGTGAAATATCCACCTACTGAATGCCTGGTCAAAATGCTCACGCTGGTACTCAAAAACAACAACTTCACTTTTGATGGAGACCATTATCTGCAAGTTAATGGAACTGCTATGGGCACCAAAATGGCTCCATCATATGCCAACATATTTATGGGCAAATTAGAAAAACAACTCCTTGAATCTTCCATTGAAAAACCGCTTTCCTGGTTTAGATTTATAGATGATGTGGATATGAAATGGAATAAAAGTGACGAGGATTTAGATACATTCATCACTCATGCCAACAACATACATCCAAGTATCAAATTTACTCATGAGAAATCTAAATCCAAAATCACCTTCCTCGATACCTCCAGCTCGCTCACAGATGGCATCATATCCACTGATCTATATTCTAAGCCTACTGACACTCACCAATATCTGTCCCCTAAAAGTTGCCATCCTGCTCATTGTACTAAGAGCATCCCGTACAGTCAGGCACTCAGAGTCAAGCGAATATGTTCCAACTCAGAAACAACTAAAAAACAACTACGTCAACTCGAAACCAGCTTGAAGAGAAGGGGCTACAAACACAAAACTATACAAAAAGGCTTTCAGAAAGCGGAAACTATTCCAAGGAGTAAACTGTTAGAATACAAATATAAAAAGAAAATAAAAGGACTCCATGTGTTCTTACTTACCACCCATCTCTCAAAAACAGCTTCGGTGTCATTCGTGAGCATTGGAAAACAGTTGAAAAGAATTCCAAACTATCCAAGATTTTTCCCGAGCCTCCCATGATAGCTTTTAGGCAACCCAATAGTCTGCGTAACCTGCTGGTGCGGGCTGAAGTGTCTGATAATACAAGTACGTCTGAAGAATGTCGTTCGTGTGATGAAAAACGCAGCAAATGCTGCCTACAGATGCATCACTCATCAACTTTTCACAGTAAGGCAACCGAAAATAACTATAAGATATTTTGCAATGCTAACTGCAAAAGTATGAATGTTATTTACATTCTAGAATGTTCGGTTTGTGGCCTCCAATATGTTGGTGAGTCAAAGCAGCCTTTCCACAAACGCCTCAATGGCCATAGGAGTGATATCTCTAAGAAGCCACTTCTCCCAGTTTCTCAGCATTTCAGACAGTCTGGTCACACACTTGATGACTTTAACCGCATGAAGATCCTAGTGATTGAACAGAACATTCACTGGAGTGATGCCCAGCGACAGGTTCGGGAAAGCTTTTGGATAAAGGAACTAAATGTACATCATCCAAACGGCATCAATAAAAAATACTAAGTTTAATTTTTCACTCATTTTGGGTTGTAAATATACACAGTCACGTATATTTGAGTATTGAGTTTTGTTTTATATTATGATGTTCAGGATTTTGGATTAAATCAATAGACCAAAACTTACCTGTATTATTGAGCTATTTTTATACATATTATCAGTATTGTTAAAATAATTGACACCGAAGAAGGCTATTTGTTAAGCCGAAATATTTGTCAACACGATTTATTAACAACATCTTCGTATGATACCATCTTATATTAGTATCGTTGTGCAAATCTCTAGACTTATATAATTTTTTTCCTTATCTGCACAGTATCGTCTATTCTAGACGATCCGGTACATATTAAATTTGCTGGTTGGTCCTTTTTATAGACTTCTATATATATATATATATATATATATATATATATATATATATATATATATATATATATATTTATTTATATGTGTGTGTGTCCTTCATTGTTTTGTTAAGTTATATTGGTGTTGTGATTAATATGAAAGAAGGAAACATTTAGAAAATATTCTCAATGTAGTTTCACAGGAGAAGGTTTTGGAATCTTACCAATGAGTAACAACGATTGGCACTTAAGGAGAGGTGTTATTCATACGATCAGAATGATATAACGAGAATTGTCTGTAGATGGTCTGCTATACTATATTAAAATTATGCGGGTTTTGTTTACACTCACCAATCTGCAATGATCAAAAAGCATTTCTGAACAATGTTTTTCAATCTGCCATGTATCATTCGTGTCAATTTGGTTAATGACTATAAAGTTTAGGAGAAAATTCCATAGTGTTTCAACTATATGTCAAAGGTGCCGCAATGGTTATCATCCTATCAACGTTAAATGTGGGTCGAATGTAGGATGTTTTCAAATTGCATCCTCTCTAGTTTAACCATTTCAACAATATTATTTTGGATGAAATATTTTTTTTAGGAATTTAACAATTAGAATCAAAGGTTGCCTCTTGCAACCATGCTTTTAATTAGTTTACAATTAAGCCAGTATCAGTGTTTTCCGCTAAAGCAATAATGTTACAGATAAGTCCAGTAGCAGAAACCGATCTGTCTAGATTTTGTATGAAATAACAACATTTTGAGGCAGAAATGCAATTCATGTGTAAGTCTTTCCATTAAAAAAAAAAAAAAAAAAAAAAAAAATGTGTGCTTTCATCGCATTATTTAAACTTTTTTTTTTCGCAAAAAAGAGAAAAATAGAACTACATGTATCCCTAAAAATTGATTGTTACAGCATGTTCCATATAATTCCATGTTTGAAATAAAGAACCTAATAAACCACTTTTAGTTTATAAAAAGAATCAGTTCAAGTTTTTGTTTATACTAACACCAAAACGTTTTTGGTACTTTTCTGTGAAATACGGGACATATAATTTGCGACTTCTGATTGACAAAATGTCGCGTCTGGTGTTTCAAATTAAAATGTTTTATACTAATGCCAATCAATGAAATTGTGGTTTATATTAAATAGTTCATGAAACTAGTTAATACATCGCCACACCAAGTTCATATGTCTTCCATCCTAAAGCAGAAAACAGTATCATGTCTTAAGAATATACTAATGTAAATTTGTTAAAAAGGTCAAAAGGTTAAACATCAAATTGACATTTGATATTGACCTTTATTTTAACGAAGTAGGTCTTGGATTTCAAATCAAAAGACCATAGGTCTGTAATATGTATGGTTGATAAGTAATTCTGATTGCAAATAGCTAAAATGAAGAAAAAAGAGCACATAGTCACCAAAAGCACTTCGACCCAAATGTAAGGAAATTGGGCCATGTCGTAACAAATAATTTGGCAAAATCCTTTTGTCGTTTTTTGTTACAGTTTCTAAGGAATAACGATAACAAGGTAAGTGATATATATATAACATGACATTGACCTTTTGCCTGTGAACTTCATTTCATGTTCATTGACCAAGAACATATATCAATAGACTTTAGGTCTGCACGAATTACGGTTTAAAAGTTATATTGATATATCACTGATGTCAAGTGTGAAAATTATATGTCACTAAATCGCTTTGGAGGTATCTCAGTAGACGATGTAGAATACAAGAATACAGAATGGAAACGAAGAATGTGTCAAAGAGACAACAAAACTACAAAAAAGCAGAAAACAGCTCTAGGCCACCAATAGGTCTTCAACACAGCAGGAAAATCCGACACTCGGACGCGTGCTTCAGCTGGCTTCTAAACAATAACGTATACTAGTTCAGCGAATTGGATGCCTCACTAAACTAATACAAACTTGTAATTTAAAAAAACACACAAACAAACAAGACTAACATATTTTGTGAGACCTCAACTCTCCCTTTACATTTCTAGCCACACTAACTAAAACTAGTTTGTATCAATTCACCGAGATGGAGAGATAATAATAATGACAATGATAATAAATATTCAAACAATGTCACAGTTGTGTAGTACATACGTTTTATAATAGTACCTTTCGCGACCATCAAAACACCAAAGATAACATGACAGGAACTCTGTACTACATTTTACATGGCTGTACAAATTTAAATATAAAATTTTATAGTTAAATTGAATGTATACTCTAGTAATCTTATTCATTCCATACATGTATATAATGATGGTTTAAAATGTGACTTTTAATTAATGTTAATTTGTTTTTTTCTATGCATATTACACATAGGAATACGAAAACCAAAATTATGTTCAATGAAATCTTTCATCATCCGAAATTTGATGAAAACATGTTTTTGGTTTGAACATTCAGTATTTGTGAGTTCTGTGTTTTAGAATTATTTAATGTTATTTCCTTTTAAAATTACACGAAGTGAAGAAATTCACGTACCTTCATTGTAGCCAGATCGACATCACATTGTGTTTAATTGTTAACCGGGAAGTACAGGACATACCGTTTGTGTAAACATTCGTTTTATATGTCGTAAGTATGTTAAGGTAGAGCAGTCAAGCATACAAACTCCATTCATGTATTGATACATTCAAACACACATTATAGATTTCTAATGTAAAGAAAAGTGATAATAAATTATTTAAAAAACTGAATGTCAACTTTAAAAGTTGTTGATGATCATCAGATTAAACGACCAAATTTCTCTCTCTCTCTCTCTCTCTCTCTCTCTCTCTCTCTCTCTCTCTCTCTCTCTCTCTCTCTCTCTCTCTTTTATAATCATTAGTTAAACCAATGCAGAGTTTCAAATCAAAACAGTAACTAAATTTTCCTCGCATAACCATGAACCAACTTTATAATGTTCATCGTAGGGACAATTATAATTGTGGATGTAACTTTTGCTTGTGATAACTAAACGATTAGAAAAGGCTTACTGATACTGTTTTTCGTGTAGCTGAGTCGTTAAAATGGACATACTGGTATAGTATAATCAATACACGTGCTGAACATGTACAGACATATTAGCATAAAATACGTGTAAAAAGCTAGAGAATCTGTATTGCACTCCGGGTATCTTTTGCACAATAATGTCATTCTCGTACTTAATAAAAGCCTCACTGTCAGCAGAAATTTTCACTGTTCTGCCTCAGCAAAACTGTAGGAATGCCAAAATATCTGTGAGTAACGCTATCGCTGGATTCTTGCTTATTGTTTCGAAAATGATTATGCGACGTTTGAGGAAGGTCAGATGTATGTTTCAAAGGACATACGAACAGACAAATAAACACATTTAAGCGAGGGGTACATGTAAAAAATGCGGAAGTAAATAGGTAAACAATTATGATAAATACAAAATACAATCCAAGATGTGCCATTGGTGTTAACACTTTCAATAGAAGTTCGAAAACTACACTAATTGCGTTATTGATAGCTTCCGAGTTTGAAAAGACACAATTATTAAAGATATTAATACAGTAAAAGTAAAATCACAAACATACTGAACTCCGAGGAAAATTCAAAAAAAGGAAAGTCCCTAATCAAATGGCAAAATCAAAAGCTCAAACACATCAAACGAATGGATAACAACTGTCATATTCCTGACTTGGTACAGGCATTTTCTTATGTAGATAATGGTGGTTTAAACCTGGTTTCAAAGCTAGCTAAACCTCTCACTTGTATGACAGTCGCATCAAATTCCATTATATTGAAAACGATGTGTGAACAAAACAAACAGACACAATAGGTAAAAATGACACAAATAGGGGTACAACAGCAACACGAACCGTACCAAAAACTGGGGGTAATCTCAGGTGCTCCGAAAGGGTAAGCATATCCTGCTCCACATGTGGCACCTGTCGTGTTGCTCATGTTATTACAAAGCCGGTAAATAGTCTAATTCGGTAGGTCACATTCGTGAAAAGGGAACGGGATTGTAGTTACGACATAAGGAACATATCCGATATCATCTGTGAAACGGATATTCCATAACGGTCAACCAACTCGTGATGGTGTATGTAAAATTTACGAAGTGATGATTTCAACTGCACCATTTAGAACTCCTAAGATCGTCCCTGCTAAGCATACATAGACGTATTCATATTCCTTAAGCTGCCATGATTATAAGTTGCTGATTTACTACTATTCGTATATTTATATTTAGCAATACTAAAGTTTTACTCTCTGTGTGAGTTTCAAATAAATCAACATTAAAACTTTGTGAATATGTATCGATGGTCATGAAAAGGCTTCATTTCCCTGATTTCTAACTTGTTCTGTCGTCTAATCTAATACTTCGGATAAAAACATTGCAATTTGCGTGTTGTACACTGTACAAAAATTTCGACACTATGCTTAGAATGTCTATGCATATTAACGGTCAGAGCCATGAAACATAAACTATAGAGTTTTCTGAAAGCTTGTACAAAAACCTACAACACTAATTCAATGAACTATTTATTTCATTTTATAATATACTTAGAGTAAATAACTAATAATTTTTACAGTATGATAATAGCATTAAATTTACGTGAGTTCCATATTTTCCGAAATGATGTTTAGCGGGCTGATATGAAAAATTAATCCAATGCCTCCGGCTATTATCACATGCCTTTCCGTAATGTTATCGCATGGCATTCCGGCATTACTCGTCAAATTTCGGAAAATACATCTCAACGGTACGTTTTCAGTGAAAAACATAACAGAGTAGGGTACAAAACAATTATTAAGGAACAGGAAAATATATAATGTAAAATGCAAAATCAAATGATACAATAAATGCATATTTCAAAGTTTCCAGCATAATTTAGAAAGTTACATTACAAATGTAGGCTTTAATTATGTTTTGTTGAATTTTTTTATCGTCAATATGAAAATCAATATAACTGTTGATATGACAGTTGATGCATATGATAGAAAGATTTCATATCGGATGTATTACATTTGGCGTCCGACGTCCGTAAACTTTTCATTTTTTTAACTTCTACTTGAGATACACTTAAAATGATAAATATATTAAACTGTTATTTTTCTCCATTGTTGAAGCATATGATAAAAAGATCATAACATGTCATTTTTCATATCAGATGTATTATCAGCCCTCGGCTCTTGGGCTGATATTGAACCTTGGGCTGATAATACATCTGATATGAAAAATGACATGTAATAATCTGATAGAACATCACACAGTAATATCAAAATATTGAGCATGAGCCTAATACTCACCTGTACCTTGATATACTTATATGGAATTGGAATATATTTGAAATCTTTCAAAATGGTTTTGCATTTGCAAGAAGGTAGAATTGCAACGGATGCAATTTACTCACTTATGTATTTGATCATCTGACAAATCGATAACCAGTGAATCTAACTTTCTTTTCAGAATTGTAAAGAATATTTTTATCATGTATGTAGTAATATATTTTGTCAACCTAAGAGTCTTATCCGTGACACCATGTATCAGAACATGCATGTACTTATATGCGTAAAACTGCATTATTTTATAAAAACTATGCCACTTTGAAACACTGGTACCGGAGTAAACACACATACACATGCTTCGTGTGAAGTTAAATGTAACCTTAAATTGTTTGGAAATGATATAGATTTTGCATTTAGTACGGAAATGCCACGGCCACGCAAAATAACGGAATCGTTTGCAACTTCTTTGTTTTGTAATTTGCTTCGTTTTGCTATTTCATTTGGGTGTAAAATCGTTATAGAAGCACATTTTGTATGAAGTAGCGCTTCAATCTATAAATATGAGCACGATCAACCCTATAAAATAAAATTAAAAAGGATTCAATTCTAATAGTCTTATTTGTATGCTACAACCATGAAATACGAGTTATAGCAAATGTTTCGTTTGTTTTTCTGTGCATTGTAGTGATGTTGATACGAGAAGCACGTGCTGTCATGAAGTTGAATTTTATTGAGAAATAAAATTTGATTGAAATCCTTTGCGATTGCTTTCAGCCAATTTTTGCGGCTTTTTATGAAACATAGTTGTAACGTAATTATTTAAATTTAAAGATTTGGTATTCATTGTTCATTCTAAACGTAAACAAGTAATATGACGTAATATTAATGTCTGAACAAATATAATGTAATGAAAATGTTATATTGGTATTGCTATTAAATTGTTTGATAAAATACACGTTAGATTTTAAGATAAGTGGTACTTTGTCTTAGGCACATCCATTTTATTTCAAAACTTTAACATCATAAATCATGGACTTCATTCAAGCAGACAAAAGTTCATTAATTATGAGTATCTGAAATAAATAGTACTTTTTAGCCGCTCTTGGTGTTTGGTATTCTTACATACATTTTGTACCGGATAAGCAAAACAATTAGTATACTTAAAAGTTTAACCCCGAAACATTCTCTTCATGTGCCTGTCCCATGTCAGGAACCTGTAATATATTGGTTATCGGTTGTTGCTATATAGGAAATTTGTATTTCGTTTATTGTTTTGTACATGTTCCGGCTATGTGTTTGGAAATCTGATGTTTTGTATTTTTGTGATTTTGTTTATTACTGTCTTGTTGAGCTCGCATCACTTTTTATTCAAATACTTACATTTGAACACATAAAACCATAAACATGTAGATTTAACCCCACACTTCGTTATGTGCCTGTCCTCAGGTTATGGACCTTGTCAGCAGTCGTCTGTTATTATATCCTGTGATATTCACTATGTTTGAATTTGGTGGTACAATGTACATGTTGGGGTGTACAACATGTAGATGTCCAAGCGTATGAGCGTTTGTCTTTCCCGATCTACTTATGTGTCGTTAATGAAACTAAAACAATGACTACATTGTAAAGACTACGTGAAACATGTGAGGAGTGTGTTTTATGTTTCTTCTTTTTTCATTGAGCGTCAAATCCGACTTACACCTGTACATGTAGCTATAAATACATTAGCTACATGTAGCTTACCATAGTTGCAAGCACATTTTGGTCCTGCATGATTTCCAAATTATCTGCTGTTTTTTTTAATTATTTTTGATGTTAAGTTAGTGGTACTCTAATGTTATAGTGGTACCCGATTGGTAGCTGCATTGTGTGAGTTTTTTATTTCGTGTTTTCATTTTACGACCTATGATCTGAATAGCAAATAGGAAGCTTTGTTTGCACTGAAAACTGGTTTAAACCCAAAGCAATTTGTGTCTGGATACAAGTCAAAATATCCTGAACATGTGTTGTTCGTTGTTTTATGTCTTTGTTTGGATGTCCTTTTTTTCGGAGGGGTCGGTCGCTAGTGGTTAATGTGGTCTGTTGCACAGTTCAATACTTTGATGATTCCTGTTATCCTTTTGGTTTATTATTCTAAACATTTATTTTGTATTTACATTGTGTCATAGGTCAAATTTATTTGTTCAGTGTATGTTCACTGGTGTTAATATGTCCTTTGATTGAGTTAAGCTATTTCAGTTGATATTTTATAGTGTGTCTTTCTATGTTGTGATGTTACACTATT